GAATGATACACACAAAGATATCCAAAATGATACACACAAAAACATCCTAAATGTTACACACGGAGATATCCAGAATGATACACAGAGAGATATCCAGAATGATACACACAGAAGTATCCAGAATAATACACAGAGAGATATCATGAATGATATCACACAAAATAAGCGATGCTTTTTACACATCAAGAAAAGTGTACATAAACTGAAGTTACCTGAACATTTATATATACAAGAAATCAATGCTCCACAACAACCAAAAGTAAGCAATGATACAAAACTCCACCAGATTTGCAGTGAAACCAACAATGACTCAGTTTCACAAATAACAATAGCTGAACTCATACCTGATTCGACATTACATGATCAAGACCATCAATCCCTTGCAACCAGAACTGACTGTGTCAAGGACAAACACGGCAAGAACCATCACTCTAAATTCATCCATGAGTCTGAATTTGGAAAGACAACTGATAGGGCAAATTCGACAGCAGTTATGAAAGGCTTAGCTTGGGAAAGAACTCAGCCTGCAGCTGCTGGGTTCAAACACAGACAGTTCTGGAAACCCCTAAAGAGGTTGTACAATAGTAGAGTCCACCCAATCCCAAAGCTGGGAGCTTCAACATCATATCTAAGAGAGGTAAGTCTCTGGCAAGTGTCTTCACATACAAAACATAAACTTGATCAAATCTTGCTTTCTCATGCGGGTTTCAGGGCTCCATTCTGGAGAACAAAGAACAGACCCACAGCAACCATAACAAAAATCTTGTCGGAGGCAACTAAATAGAATGTTTCATTCAGAGTCGGAGTGCAACTGCCTGAGAGATAAGGAAGAGGAGGAGGGGGAGGAGGAGGAGGAAGAAGAAGAAAAAGAAGAAGAAGAACAAAAAGAAGAAGTAGAAGAAGAAGAAATAATAAGAACAAATCAGTGTCTTCTTTTTCTGAGTCTGTCCTTAAAAGAGAGGGCGCCACATTTAGTTGTGGTTTACAGATAGACTGCGATTCTCTGCCTTTCGGTACAACACATCCCATTTCAGCAAATCAAATTAGTCTACATGCTTGCCGGTAGACAGAGGGCCAATTCTGTGTTCTTTCCCCTAAATCTGGGCCTCAGAAGCTACTCAGTGAGTGTCCTTGTCTGCAACCCTTTTTTTATGATTCAAGATTTGTGCAAATAGTTGTTGATTCAGACAGCCACTAACCCCTGCTAAATTTTTAATTTTTATTTTTTACTCACGGATCTTTACAATCAATATTTAAACATTCCAGCAGTGTAATAATCTTCTCCTCAGAACAAAAGAATGTATGTGCAAGAATCTGGCAGAATGCAGCAAGAGTGTGATGATCAACAACTGGGTAAACAGCAAGCACATGGAATGCAAGAGCAATCAGGCAATCAACAGCCTGGACATGGCAACCAACAGCTTCAAAATGGCAACCTACAGCTTGAACATGGCAACCAACAGCTTCAAAATGGCAACCTACAGCTTGAACATGGCAACCAACAGCTTCAAAATGGCAACCTACAGCTTGAACATGGCAACCAACAGATTCAAAATGGCAACCAAAAGCTTGAACAAGGCAACCGACAGCTTCAAAACGGCAACCAACAGCTTGAACATGACAACCAACAGCTTGAAATTGAAAACCAACAGCTTCAAAAGGGCAACCAACAGCTTGAAAACGGCAACCCACAGCTCCAACAGCAAAATGTGGGCTACCAACAGCAAAAAATAATTAAACAACAAGACAGCAAGCAACAGAAAAGATACTGCACAGCCCAAGTAAAAACAGCCAAAGTGTTACTGTTGGTAACTATTGTCTATATTGTCAGCTTTGCCCCCGTGCTCCTGATGATCCTCGGCGCTATACCTTCTCATCAAATTCCCTTCTATGGCTACTTCATTCACAGCACTGCTAACCCTCTCATCTACTCCTTCATTAACCAGGCCTTCCGAAAACAGCTACAAAATCTGCTGGCAAGAAAACAATGGAGAGCCAAACCAACAAAGTAATATGCGGGTTAAAGAAAGTAGACCCCGGGCTAACCCATCCCAAAATTGGAAACAGGAAATTTTTTGGGAAGTAAAGGCAACCAGCATGATGTTGACCATATCCCCTTCATTGTGTCAGCTGGTCTCTAAAAATGTGGACTTAGCATTATATGCCACTTAATTTTTTATATCAACTTCATAGCACATCGGAAATGACCATAAGTGCTCAGATATCCTTCTGAATACGACCCAACATGTTTTTAGGTTAACCACCACCATTCTCTTCTGCTTGATGTAACCATGGGTGGCTCCCATTTGGTTTTCCTGTCTCACGGCTCCAATACAATTATTTGCCAAGTGGCAGGAAAAGGGTGCTCTACAATACAAGGACATAAGACATAAGCTCCAGCTTAAGAAATCATCTATCACATATGTTTCAGTTTCCCCATGTGGATTCCAGGGCCCTATTATAGGGAATAAAGAACAGACCCACTTATCCTAACAAGCAAATTGTAGGAGTCGACTAATTAGAAGTGTTTCATTCAAAGTTATAGCAAATCTAAAGCTTACAAATAAGCCAGATTTGTAAAACTGATGTGCACGCAAAACTCAATTTCTGGAAAAAAACACTAAAGTCCAGAAGCGATGAACAACCAAAACTTTCCACGGGAGTTTAAAGCTGGTGAATGCTAGGAAGAACAGGACAAAGAAGAAGATGTATGTTCTAGTCTAGATGCTAGATGTAAGTCGGTGTTCCAATTTCACACATGCTGTCATTGCAACAGAGCATGTTGAGCAAGGTGGAGACAGGTATGCTCCGTGCAGAGCGGCAAGCATCACTTCAAAGGTCCCAATAGTTAGCATCCTTTGGATATCTTCTCCAGGTCATAACAATGTGCTGGGTAATGAGCAGGCAGATAAATGGCCGGTTCTGCACCTATTGCAGGTGTACTGATGTATGACAAGCTGGACGTTGTCAGGAGTTACAGGGGGAATCTGACCAACGTTGGACGCTCAGTGGAAAGGCGAGACAGATATACAATCAGACAGTTACTGGTACCATCAGAATTTTAACTTTTCGCTTACTGCTGAAGATGGTGACGGAGCGCTTATGGGGGTCTCCCGAGTGCTGTGAGGTCAATTCTTAATTCAACATTCAACATTTTACAGCAAACAGGTCACCCCATAATTGCTCCATTCCTGTGTCAGCTCAGACAACACAGACTGCCTTTCATTGTCCACTTTAAAGAAAACAACAACAACAATAAACGACTGCAGTCCTGGAAATTCCAGCAGCAAACACATGCATTCAATGCATAAGGCAGCTGCCAGAAGTGTCATTACAAAAAGTCTGCCACCAAAATGTAGGTTATCATTGAGCAACACATCAGCAGCTGTACAGGCATTACTGTATAAGGCACCAGTAGTTCTGTGGCAAAAAGCCTGTTTATCCACCATATTGGACCAGAAGTTTACATATCATAAATATGGAATATATTATTTCACAATTATGAAATAAATTCTACATCATAACTAGACTTCTGTTCGCTTGTGTACACCAAATATTCCTCCCATTCACTCCAGCATTATAATATAATATAATTAAAGACGGGTAGAAGATGTTGAGGCCGACCTCAACCACGACATAAAGATGATTGCAAGCTGGACATGAAGGATACAGCTATTGAGGTGGACTCATGGGAACAAAATGCCATGGGCCGTGTTGTGTTGAAGAGGCCCATCAGGAAGTGAATTAGAATAAAGGAAGAAATGATTGCACTAAGGACGAGAGGTGAGTGTCTGAGAAGAAATAAATGTTGACAATAACAGTCCTGAAATCCTATGCTATAACTGTGGAAGACTCTTCTTAACACGAGTGGGTCTTGCTAGTCACACTCGCCATCGCCACGATGGGCTGTGAGTCCCATGCCTACTTATGGCGTAATATAACACTATCGTCTGGAAAGACTGAAAGATGCCAATTCAAACCACTCTATCCCTATTTTTTATATTCATTCTTACTGTTGCTTTCACTTATGTTTAATCATTTTTCTCATCAATGGGTAATCTGCTTCTCCCTAATTTTGTAGATATTTAGACTCTCTCATTTACTCTACCACCAGCAGAAATACTTAGACTATTTCCTCTATTGCATCCTCAATTTGATGTTGATACTCTATTTCATCTATATTATTATTAGTTGAACGTTACTTTAAAAGTCGACCAAGTCCAGAAGATGAATTTCACTGTACCAGTGTTATCCTATGTGGCTCAGTCTCACACCACAGAACCATTTGCCTCTGCCAAAAGCACTGCATAAAGCACGAACTCCGTAGCTTCAGTGACAATAACCAGGGATGTCTGTCAAAACTGCCCTAGTGAACTGAATGAAGCTTAGGAACCCATTCTTGGGGGAGAAAAAGATCAGACCCACTGTTCCTGACAAGCATGTCATAGAAGGCAACTAATTATGGATTTTTTCCTTTGAGGCCAAAGTGCTACTGTCTGAGCAACAAAGAACCAAGATTTGTAAACCAGATCTGTAAAATGGATGTTCAAGTAAAATTCAAGTTCTGGAACAAGTCCAGAAGGGACAAACCACCAGAACTTTCCGCCAGTGACTGCTAAAAAAGAAGAAGAGAAGAAGAGTTCCTACCTTCAGAAGATGATAATGGCTTGACCACTCTGCCTTTGAGCACCCCCCCCCCCCCCCGCCCCATTTTATCGTTTGTTTAACATGAAACTATTTCATCCATTCCATCTTTCGTTTTGATATCTGGACTTGTCTACTCCATCCTAGTTCAATGTTTACATTTTGTCTCATCATCTTAATCCAAACTCTTGATATTTAGACTAGTGAGACCTTCCAAAGACAGGTAGACAAACTGTCCGGTAGAAGAGGTGTGTAAAAAAAGAAAAAGGGGGGGGGGGGGGAGTTTGAAATAAGAAAAGTATTTCAGAGAGCAGACCTAAGTTAAAAAAAGGAAAAACAAACATGACAGAACTAACCTTCACTATAGGCCCATTCACTTCTACAATGAGCAACTCTTCAAATGGAATGTTGGCCAATTTGGCAACTTCTCTCTTTAAGGTTCTGTATTTTTCATCCATGTTTAGTCTCAACCCATACTTAACTGGCATGGAACCATCTAGTTTTTGTACTGAAAGAAAAAAAAAAGATCAAAAGTCTGGCTTCACAAAACTAGACAGAGTGAACTTTGTGTGTGGGTAACTGAGCGGACGCATGCACGTATGCACATACACCCACACACACCACAAACAAGTAGTATTCTAACTAACATTCTGCACCTCTCGGCTTTCTTTTGTTCCATCCATTCTTTTGTATTTTTACTTTACATTCATTTGATGAATTTTGATATACCAACATAATATGCTTGATATATAAAATACTATTGGAGTGTGAAAGATTAGTGTCTGAAAGTCTAATGTAAGATGAGCCTCCATGTCCAATCTATGATCCTTTGGAAACAAAGTTTGTTCGTTCCGTACTTTTCTAACTCCTAAAGATGGTATATAGGATTCTCCAGCTGATATGATCAGGCTCTGTCAAAAAGACCCAGGAATATATTTGACAGGTGGTTCTCCAGCTGATATGATCAGGCTCTGTCAAAAAGACCCAGGAATATATTTGACAGGTGGTTCTCCAGCTGATATGATCAGGCTCTGTCAAAAAGACCCAGGAATATATTTGACAGGTGGTTCTTCAGTGCCATCTACGCAACAACTATTCAACAACAAACTCTTTGTGAGAGTCTAGCCAGGGTAGCAGGACACACAGGAAAGCATGGTCTCAAATGTTCAACAGCAAACTCTTTGTGAGAGTCTAGCCAGGGTAGCAGGACACACAGGAAAGCATGGTCTCAAATGTTCAACAGCAAACTCTTTGTGAGAGTCTAGCCAGGGTAGCAGGACACACAGGAAAGCATGGTCTCAAATGTTCAACAGCAAACTCTTTGTGAGAGTCTAGCCAGGGTAGCAGGACACACAGGAAAGCATGGTCTCAAATGTTCAACAGCAAACTCTTTGTGAGAGTCTAGCCAGGGTAGCAGGACACACAGGAAAGCATGGTCTCAAATGTTCAACAGCAAACTCTTTGTGAGAGTCTAGCCAGGGTAGCAGGACACACAGGAAAGCATGGTCTCAAATGTTCAACAGCAAACTCTTTGTGAGAGTCTAGCCAGGGTAGCAGGACACACAGGAAAGCATGGTCTCAAATGTTCAACAGCAAACTCTTTGTGAGAGTCTAGCCAGGGTAGCAGGACACACAGGAAAGCATGGTCTCAAATGTTCAACAGCAAACTCTTTGTGAGAGTCTAGCCAGGGTAGCAGGACACACAGGAAAGCATGGTCTCAAATGTTCAACAGCAAACTCTTTGTGAGAGTCTAGCCAGGGTAGCAGGACACATAGGAAAGCATGGTCTCAAATGTTCAACAGCAAACTCTTTGTGAGAGTCTAGCCAGGGTAGCAGGACACACAGGAAAGCATGGTCTCAAATGTTCAACAGCAAACTCTTTGTGAGAGTCTAGCCAGGGTAGCAGGACACATAGGAAAGCATGGTCTCAAATGTTCAACAGCAAACTCTTTGTGAGAGTCTAGCCAGGGTAGCAGGACACACAGGAAAGCATGGTCTCAAATGTTCAACAGCAAACTCTTTGTGAGAGTCTAGCCAGGGTAGCAGGACACACAGGAAAGCATGGTCTCAAATGTTCAACAGCAAACTCTTTGTGAGAGTCTAGCCAGGGTAGCAGGACACACACAGGAAAGCATGGTCTCAAATGTTCAACAGCAAACTCTTTGTGAGAGTCTAGCCAGGGTAGCAGGACACACAGGAAAGCATGGTCTCAAATGTTCAACAGCAAACTCTTTGTGAGAGTCTAGCCAGGGTAGCAGGACATGTAGGAAAGCATGGTCTCAAATGTTCAACAGCAAACTCTTTGTGAGAGTCTAGCCAGGGTAGCAGGACACACAGGAAAGCATGGTCTCAAATGTTCAACAGCAAACTCTTTGTGAGAGTCTAGCCAGGGTAGCAGGACACACAGGAAAGCATGGTCTCAAATGTTCAACAGCAAACTCTTTGTGAGAGTCTAGCCAGGGTAGCAGGACACACAGGAAAGCATGGTCTCAAATGTTCAACAGCAAACTCTTTGTGAGAGTCTAGCCAGGGTAGCAGGACACACAGGAAAGCATGGTCTCAAATGTTCAACAGCAAACTCTTTGTGAGAGTCTAGCCAGGGTAGCAGGACACACAGGAAAGCATGGTCTCAAATGCATCCCTTGTCTTGTATACTGATGAATTCAGCAACTCTCTAATGGAAGAGTGGATTCGTCTGTGCATTAATTGGCTAAAGGTACATGATTGTTGCCAGATTTTCACCTACTGATCTGTTCTTTTTCATCAAATTCTTCATCAATTGTCCAAGTGACATAAATGCTCTATGCCTGATAACAGCATAGCTGCTGTATTTACACCTTTTGGCCAACATATTCAACTTCTGATGTTTGAGGTTTTGAACAACGAATCAACATCACGGCACACGGGTAGTAACCCATAAGTGCTCCGTTCTTCTTATAACTCAAGTCTGAGTCTGAAGAAGCTCAGCACAATGCACAGGCTCTGTAGCACCGGCGAGGATCCTGAAAAACTCTGGGTAGATTTTTTACCTCAAAATTTTGCCCGGTCAGCACCATTAGGCTACTCTTTTCAATTTCCAACTGCCAAGGGATTTTTTACGTGCACAACAATGCACACGGGCGTCCAATCTCACTATCCAGAGACCAGGGGTAATTACTAGAAGTCCAAGTCCACATGAAAAAATCCCAGCCCTTACCGGGGATTGAACCTCCAGCACTCGAGGCGGACACCAAGCCTCGAGATACGCAGCCCTATTCAACTTCTAATAACAGCATAGCTGCTACATTTATGCCTGTCAACATATTTAACTTCTGATAACTGCATAGCTGCTACATTTATGCCTGGCAACATATTTAGCTTCTTCAGGCATTTGTTTTCCAGCTCAGTCTTCGCCTAAAGAAGATAATCATCTTAAATAACTCATTCACACAACCATTGTGTTTAACCATGAACATTAACCTACTGACCTATGACCTCCAGATGAATACAGCTGTCCATGGGCAAAGGCAGAGACAGGTGGGAGTAAGGGTCGAACCGGACGCTGATGTGGCCACACTCCTTGCACTTGACCTGGGACTTGAGGATGCCATGGAACAGGTCCACCACGATGGACTGGTTACGTAACAAGTGGTTCTCCCAGGCCTGCAATGTAACATAATGTAACTTACAACCGGTTGCACTAACAATCATTTATCTGGTTCTAGGAGCGGTTCCCCAAACAATTTCTTCAGACCTCCGAAATGTGGTTTTACGGAAGATTTCTTAGAATTTCTTAGACGGCCAAAAAAAAGAGCAATCCAAATGTTTTGAAAGACGTGAGGGATTGAACACAACTTATCATAAATATCAGAAAGAGACAGTCATTATTTACTGGTCATATTATGAGAAGGAAGCTAGGACATGTTGTGACCACTGGACACATCTTTGGAAAAAGAGACAGTGGAAGACAACGCAAGAAGATTTTTGACAGCCTTTTGTCATGGCTCTGAGGAGTGTTACAACACAAACTGGTACATGTTGCTGAAGGTCGTAGATTGTGAACCGACATGATCGTCCACGTCAGTCGGAAAGGAAGTTGACGATAAGTGGTTTTCCAAGGTATGTAATGCATCTTATATCTCATATTCTTGCCAAACGGCCACATTTATCTGGTTTTGAGGATGTCAGGTAAGGTCTGTGTATGCAGCCACCAGTGTAGTTGCCCTATGGCCAAAACTTTCTATGTTCAGTCTCCCTCTGTGTAAATTAATGGGTATAATACTGTTATTTCTAAAAATTTTAGTTTATGTTTGAGAAAGTCATGAGTTCGGTTCCTGGTGTAGGCCGGATTTCTTTTCAAAAATAACCTTGGCTCCCAGGTCGACCCAGCCTTGAGTCGGTACCAGGTAAGTACTGGGAAGTAAAGGCGGCCGGCGTGATGCTGACCACATCACCCACCAAGTGGCGTTTGGTCTCTAAAATATAGGTCTAGCCCTATATACCCAATAGGCCTGAAAAGGGTCTTTTACTTACTTGAGAATGTATCTACACTATCTACACTATGAGCTTATGTCTTGAAAACTTACAACAGTTGTGAGCCCTACCTACACATTTAAAACAGACTTTAAGATTGTAGTTTTCTAGGTTTTCAAGGCTTTTCCCGGTTTTCCAGGTTTTCAAGGCTTTTCCAGGTTTCTAAGGGATGCTGATAACAGTTAGAGAAATATAACTCTTGCAGAAGAATCGGACATTTGTGAGACAATGCAACAGTCTGAACAAGTGGCCAGTTTTCTGATGGACAATACGTACCTCACGGGCAACCACTCTGTCTGGCCTGCCATCACTGTCCTTCAGTTCCACGTATGGTTTGTTGTGTACCCTGTCAACAATGGAACATACATTAGTTACATAATATATGCCAGGGATCATGAACTTAAAACTCCATGGGAATGAATGAGACTATCTTAACGACAGTGTATAATCAGTTAGAATGGACTACCTTAACGACAGTATATAATCAGTTAGAATGGACATGAGTTAACAAATGTTTACCAGACAGTGACAGCTTTTCAGGACAAGTTAGCGACTGCTGAGATAAGGACCATGTTTTACCCATGCCAGTCAATGAAGAAACAACACAGACGATGAAGAAACAACGCAGACAATGAAGAAACAATGCAGACAATGAAGAAACAACACAGGCGATGAAGAAACAATGCAGACAATGAAGAAACAATGCAGACAATGAAGAAACAACACAGGCGATAAAGAAACAATGCAGACAATGAAGAAACAATGCAGACAATGAAGAAACAACGCAGACGATGAAGAAACAACACAGACGATGAAGAAACAACACAGACGATGAAGAAACTACACAGCCGATGAAGAAACAACACAGACGAAAAAACAACGCAGACGATGAAGAAACAACACAGACGATGAAGAAATAATGCAGACGATGAAGAAACAACACAGACGATGAAGAAAAAATGCAGACATTGAAGAAACAACGCAGACGATGAAGAAACAATGCAGACAATTAAGAAACAATGCAGACAATGAAGAAACAACACAGACGATGAAGAAACAATGCAGACAATGAAGAAACAACACAGACGATGAAGAAACTACACAGCCGATGAAGAAACAACACAGACGAAAAAACAACGCAGACGATGAAGAAACAACACAGACGATGAAGAAATAATGCAGACGATGAAGAAACAACACAGACGATGAAGAAAAAATGCAGACATTGAAGAAACAACGCAGACGATGAAGAAACAATGCAGACAATTAAGAAACAATGCAGACAATGAAGAAACAACACAGACGATGAAGAAACAATGCAGACAATGAAGAAACAACGCAGGCGATGAAGAAACAATGCAGACGATAAAGAAACAACACATACGATGAAGAAATAACATAGACAATGAAAAAACAATGCAGACAATGAAGAAATGATGCATACAATGAAGAAATAAAGCAGACAACAAAGAAACAGTGCAGACAATGAAGAAACAATGCAGAAAATGAAGAAACAGTGCAGACAATGAAGAAACAATGCAGACGATGAAGAAACAATGCAGACAATAAAGAAACAAATGCAGACAGTAAAGAAAAATTGCACACAATGATGAAACAGTGCAGACAATAAAGAAAAAATGTAGACAATAAAGAAACAATGCAGACAATAAAGAAACAGAAGAAACAATGCAGCCAATGAAAAAACAATGCAGACAATAAAAAAAACAATGCAGACAATGAAGAGACAATGAAGAAACAATGCATGCAGACAATTAGGAAACAATGCAGACAGTAAAGAAACAATGCAGACAATGAACTCACCTGTTGAGGTCCTCGTGGAGGCCATCTAGAAGAAAACTAAGCAGTTCCTGAGAGTCATGCTGCTGGAAGCCGTTGAATCTTGGTGCATATTTTCCTATAGTCCACTGAAGAACATACAATAAGCATACATTAAGCATACATTAAGCCTTTGGGAGGTAACTCCTGTTTACAACATCTCTTTTGAGAGAAAACAGTCACATCTAGTTTTTTTTTTTTTCTTCTTCTTCTTCTTCTTTCCTTCTTCTTCTTCTTTTTTTTTCCTTCTTCTTCTTCTTAAGACATTATCAAAAACCAAAAATCCTTCTAAACATTGTCAGCACTTTACTGGAAATAAAACTGGAAACTTCTGAGTTTTATGTGGAGGACAAAACTGTTCAGACATGTTACAATGCACTTCTTCTTTGACTCAGTGCATGCAGCATGCTCAGGCACATCAGATAATTCAACAAAGAAGTTTAAACATAAACAAACGGTGAGGACACTAAACTGCTGCAGAGGAATGTTTATTGCTCCACCGCTGTTCTCTTCAGTCAATGAGCCAGAGGTCTGATGTCTAGGTATATAGACTACTCAACAACGACAAAATCAAACATACATTCATAACCTGGACAAAGTACTAGCTTTTGACACTTCTGACCGCTAGCACTTCAGGTTTTGCAAAACTGCACTCAGAAACACTCTAGCTCATGGCAGATGATTTTGATCCATCCCAGTGTTACAAGCATTCAAAAATCCCGCCTAACATCCCTCAACTGGATCTACACACCTCATCATGCGGGCGTTAAAGGAAGTGAGCGAGCGAACCGACTGGCAAGCACTGCACCAAGGCATGAGGGAAGAAGCATGGATAGAGCAGATATCGTCAACGCTGTACGGACTAGGCTAGTGGATAATGAGGAATCCCTGACACTAACACGATTGTGTGACATGGGAGTAAAGCATGGTGAAGCACATCCTTGCCATCTTCGAGGCCGAGATAGGAGAAATATAACCAGCTTCTCATAGGAACAATTAGCAGAAGTATTTTGGAGTGGCTGTGCATCGGAGGACTGAGCACGCATGGAAATGCCCAAGGTGCAGTGACGTCCATTGTGATAACACAACATAACAGCAAAGCCAGGTTTTTTGGGGACACAAATTAGCAGCTTGATCATACATTTGATTTCTTCATGAATGCAATCAGTTCATAGGACCAGACTCACAGGATTGAAAACCAGACTGACTTTCTTAGGTTATCTTAGTGTAAATAATCTATTCTACCTTTAATGCATTCTGAAGTTAAACCCAGTTTCATGCTTTTTCGTGTGACACGACTTGACCTAACTGCACATTCTGGTATTGCCTTCTCGATATATTTTACACATACAATATGATTTATGATCAACACCAACCATTCACGCTGTTGTTCATAATTTATGTTAAGTGGTTGTTGTCCACATTTTCAAATAATCAGAAAATTTTACAGCAATGAGAAAATGACTCCTTACACGCGTCACAGCTAACCTTGTAGAAGCCCAAACTTTGTGACCATGTTACAGCCTACCTCATGGAGGCTGAAAAGTCTCGGCCATATCATGCCTACCTCTGCACAAATGTGTGTGTCTGTATATAGGTGTGTGTGTGTTGATTTGAGTATAGGTGTGTGTGTCTTGTTTATTTGATTACAGGTGAGCGTGTGTTTATTTGAGTATAGGTGTGTGTGTGTTGATCTGAGTATAGGTGTGTGTGTGTGTTTATTAGAGTATATGTAGTTGTGTGTGTCTGTGTCTATTTGAGTATAGGTGGTTGTGTGTGTCTGTGTCTATTTGAATATAGGTGTGTGTGTGTGTGTGTTTATTTAAGTACAAGTGTGTGTGTGTGTGTGTGTGTGTGTGAGAGTGTATTTATTTGAGTTTAGGTGTGTGTGTGTCTATCTGAGTATAGGTGTGTGTGTGTGTGTTTATTTGAGCACAGGTGTGTGTGTTTATTTGAGTAAAGGCCTGTGTGTGTGTTTATTTGAGTATAGGTGTGTGTGTGTGTACATCTGTGTATATGTGTGCGTGTGTGTGACCTCTACTATATATATATAAATATGTATGCAAATGTGACATTTTTTATAAAAGTATCGAGGTGGACTCGTGGGAACAAAACGCCATTGACTGTATTGTGTGGAGGGGGCACAGCAGAAATGGAATGAGAATGAAGAAAGAAATGATTGCAGAAAGGATGAGAGCCGAGCGTCTGAGAAAAAAAAAACACTAAATGCAATGGTTTTGTTGTTGATAATTCTGAAATATAAAAACACAAAATCCTCACCCTAAGTTTGAGTGGGGCCACAGTTTTAGATGTCCCACCCCACAAATCCTTGATAAGCTCCCCGTAGCGCTGGGCTATATGTCCCTTCATGCCTAGTGGATTGTTCCTGTAGATGTAGTCGCAGAAGGGTGGAAGAAATCAAAATATCATATGTAACACTGACATGTGAACCTTTTAACATGGGGATCAAAACACACTAAGTTGCATATCTTTAACAGGATGTCATATCAGCATTTATTTGCTGTTGGTGGGTTTACTAGGCCACTTTACGTTCAGTAGTTTGCCATTGTTTTTCAATGTCCCATATTGTTTTTGATAACACAAAGTGATTTATCAAAACAGATAACATTACTATTAATTAAACAAAAACCCAGAAATAAAAAATAAATTAAAAAAAAAGGAATTATTTTTTAACCCGTCTGCCCCTGATAAGGCTAAATCTAGTTACCTCTAGTTGGGACAGAGCCAAGTAAATGCCGATGTATTGCCACTTCTGCAGTTATTTGTTCTTGAAACGTGCAGTTAAATGCCACTGGTTCTATGCGCACCTGATGAGGGGCAGGGGCCCAATGTGAATATAGTAACTAAACATGGCATTTAGAAAGGTTTCCTTGTGAATCGAAAAGTTTTTTTCAAAGCCAGGCTGACTTAAAGTTTTCCTGTAAGCCTCACTGATAGAGGTCAGGGTGTCATGGATTGAGTAACGTGACACAAAAGGCATTCCATTTAACACTTCACTCTGTTCATGTTTAATGATTACTCCTTTCATATTTCCTTATATATTCCAAAATAAATTTTTCAAAAAATACATATAAATAAAATTTGAAACAATAAATTAGTTACTTTGTAAAATAATTTTGTTAATGGATTTTGTCTAGAAATTCCCACGGGTTTATTACCCATTTTGTGTGTGTGTTGGTTAGCATTAAGGGGCAAAGGTTTAAACAAAATGGCGGGGGAAAATGTCAAGCTGAAAATTAAGTTTCAAAAAGCAACTAAAACAAATAACTGAAGGCAGTCTGATATGTCTCTCTTTTTTTTAGGTATGCTCTTCTAGGGAACCAGACCACACTGAAAAAAAAACATGATAATATAACAGGAATGTCCTTGCACTGGAACCAACAGGATCAAAGAAATAAAGCTTTGCCAAAAATCACATGGAAAAGATGGGGAAGACATGCGGGTGAGCTGCATGTGATGCCAGACTTATATTTTATCAACTAATCTACATCATGTCTGCTGCATTTACTTTCCAGGACATTACCTGCTACCCATTCTAGGCTAAGTCAACCTGGCAGATCAGGTAAATTAAACAAAACCAAAATAATTCCACCATGCCTCAAGTTTGAGCTCAAGGCTTTCAGGCCAGTAGGCTAGCTAGATTTTAGGCCAGAATCTAGCCACTACATTACCTCATCTCTCATATACACCATACATGACATTACCTGTTGAGTTCAAAGAGGTGAAGGTTGCCAGCAAAGTAATGGGTCAAAGGCCAAGTATTGGAGACACACTGCAGGGCGGCATTCATGAAACAGGTGTTGCCGAGATTGTTCAGACCAGTGGCTCCTTTCTGGGTGGGTACTGTAAAGTGTGAACCCAGCATTAGACATGAAATAAGACTAGACAACAAACAAACAATATTTTTGTTTTCATTGGATTTGTGTCTTTTCTTTGCATTAAACAAGAATGTACCATCAGACATCACATGAAACTAGCATTCTAACAGACAAGAACAGAATATTGAACATACAACACAACAAACAAACAACTAGATTCAAAGGAAATGAAAACAGAAAAAGAAGAGCATGAAATACTCCTCCCCTCACACCAGAGTAGTGAACTGGTTACCTAACCAGCTTGGATTAGTACATCTAATGTGACAAATATACATCTAATATGACAAACATACAACAGAAATGGCAAATGTACATCTAATATGACAAAAGTAATATAGTATGGCAAATCTAATGTGGCAAATATACATCTTATATAACAGATGGCAGCTAATGTTACAAATATACATTTAATATAAAAAATGTATATCTGATATGACAAATATACATATCGTATGACATTTTAACATCTAATGTGACACATACACATCTAATGTGACAACTGTAAATCTAATATGACAAATATGCATATAATACAACACATACACATCTAATGTGACAAATATACATCTAAGTTGACAAATGTTCAGCCAATGTGACACAGATACATCTAATTTAATAAATATCAGTTAATGTGACAAATATACAGCTAATGTGACAAATATACATCTGAAATGAGAAATGAACATCTAATGTGACAAATATACATTAAATATAACAAATGTCACCTAATGTGACAAATATACATCTAATATAACAAATAATAGCTACTCTGACAATTATATATCTAATATGATACATTAACATCTAATGCGAGAAATATACATCTGAAATTACCAATGTACAGCTAATATAACAAATGTATATCTAATACGATAAATATGCATCTGATGTAACACAAGACAGCTGATGTGACAAATTTACATCTAACATGAAAAATGTCAGCTAAAGTGAAAAATATACATCTAATATAACAAAAGTCAGCTACTGTGACAAATATACATCTAATGTGACATATGTACATCTAATGTGATAAATATACATCTAATATGACACAGGTCCATCTAATGTGACATTTGGAAAATAACAAGCACGACTTAAATGTAACGAATATAAATCTTCTGTGTGACATGAGCAACAGCATAACAGGAAGCCTATCAGCCAGACAGCTGACATGTTATTCTGACAAACAAACACTCACCATCATCTTTCTTCAAATTTTTGTTTTTGGCCAGCTGGGACATCTCTTCTGGCCAGGTAAGGTCCTTATTGCGCACTTAAGAATAGAATGAAAAAAAATTCATGTCACAGGTCAGTTTACATGATCAATGTTTGCATCTGAATGCAAGTGTCATCAGTGGAAAGTTGGTGGTTCTCTGAACAAATCATTACAATTTATACATGCAGCTTTATACACCCGAGATTTGGATTTCTGGCCTAAATGGCCGGCTGATAGCTGCTATTCTGAAAAGTTTGGCTGATCGCTGCCATTCTGAAAAGTTTGGCTGATCGCTGCCATTCTGAAAAGTTCGGCTGACCGCTGCCATTCTGAAAAGTTCGGCTGATCGCTGCCATTCTGAAAAGTTCGGCTGATCGCTGCCATTCTGAAAAGTTCGGCTGATCGCTGCCATTCTGAAAAGTTATTTGTTTCCAGCTAGGTATTGCTGATGCACACTCCTCATTTCTAGATGGTGTGTTGTTGACTGCACTAAAATGGCAGGTGGCTGATTATGTTCAGAATGACATGTACTTCGGTGGACGGAGAATACTGGCTTTCATGACTGAATGTTTGTACCAATAGTGAACTGCAATTCTGGTGTGGGACTGGTAATATTGGCACATCTAACAGCTGTCTTATGCACTTTTACTTGTGCAAACTTCAATATTTTGCTGGGACTGACATGGTTTTTCACTAGTTTTCAGTGAAGAACATAGGGCACCCGTGATGTTGGAACCTCGACTACTGACTAACACCTTAGGTTTATAGGTCCAATTAAAGGCTTATTAACAGAACATATTAAAGACTCTATTTAAATATTCAGTTCATGAATAAATATAATAAACACACAAAGCCTTCCACAGACTTACTTTAAATGTTTAGTGGATGCTAACAGATTCGCTGAATACAAAATTAGACAAATAGAAATTTTTCATAAAGTCAGGTATAGAACACAGACAAACACAGAATAATAACAGCTGCACAAATGAATCCAGATAGCAAAGTCACAGAAACATGAGCTATGGGAAAGTTATTTAGATATAGTGACAAAGTTATCTAGACAGAGACAGAAAAAAAAAAAAAAAACAGACAGAAGAAAAAATAACACAAAGAAAGAGCCACATAGATAAGAAGACCAAAAAAAAAAAAAATCACAATTCAGAAAAATGAGCTACAGACAGAAAAAAAAAAGGTAATGATCATCAACATCATCAAGTGCCTAGCTGACTGGTGTGAATGATCATGCCTCGCTACAATATGTGATCTTCAAAAGCATGTATCAGTTCACGTGCAGTCACAGCTCAGTGTCATGATAAAAGACTGTCAAGAATCTTCCCATGTTTCCACTGATCTTTCCAGTGGTCACAGCACGTTCCAGTTTCTCCTTCTTATCATAACAAGACCAGACAATAAATGATGACTGTCTCTTTCTAATGTTCACGATAAGCTGTCTTTGAATCAATGCTTCTTTCAAAATATCTGGGCTGCTCTACTTGACTTCCAAAGAATTCTCAGGAGTCTTATGTAAAACCGCCTCTATGAGGCCTCAAGAAGTTGTCTGGCTTGTCCAGTATTGACAGTCGTAGGTGACACACACAAAAAGTCACACAGAAAATCAAAGAATCACATCAAGAAAGCATCACTTAGCATATGAAACAGACAGAAAAAGAAAATAATAAAACAAAAGCAGAGAAGGAGTCTAACTAATCTGACGGTACCTTCTAGAAGGATCTGCTGCATATCTTCTATCCCATAATCCTCCACTGTGAGGTCTTCATCATCCAGCAGTGTCAGATTTTGCTGAAACAATCAAGACTTACATTAGCCACTGTCTGTGAAGGTTAGGCAGTCATTTAAAACTTGAAAACACATGCAGCTGCAAGTGACTGCTGAAAAACGGGGGGGGGGGGGGGGGGGGGGGGGGGGGGGGGTGTAGAAGGGGGGGGGGGTGTTTAGTGATGGAACACTTTCTGTTTCGCTTTAACATAAGCATAAATACAGAGACTAAATATTTGTAGTTGTAGTTGAGGTTTCAACTTAGCCACAAATCAGGATCACCTGATGTTTACTCCATTCCTGTCCTGGTTAAAAAATCAAATGAAATGTCCCTCATTGACCCATTTGAAAAACTGGTGAACAAACAATTAGTCTTGGTACAATCCAGAAATATGTGCACGCATCAGTAAATGCATAAGGCAGGCTGAATGTTCGCTGTTAACGTATACTCAGGTGCAGAAAAAAGTGCATGACGGTTCAATGCGAAAGCGAATGGATGCTGCTAAATACAACAAATTCCACTGGCAAGACATCAACATGGCTTCTTCGGGTTACGTCAGTTCAGACACTTTTGTGTATTCGTGTGGTTTTGTTTCATTTATGCAATGTTCACTTTTCATTTGTATTTGTAATATTAATATTGTGTTGAACTAAGTCAAGAATTGACATCACAGCACTCTGGGCATTCCCATGTGTGCTCCGTCCTCATCTTCAGCAGCCAGCACAGAGTTCCAATACTGATGGTACCAGTCACAATCTGGTTATATGTCTGTTGTTATATTATGACAGTTGGTTCAGTTTTATATATCTTCCAATCAGTACAACAAAGTGTGATAATACCACATCATCTGGTTTGATAATGGAGTCGAGGCAATCATAGCAGCCTTTTGCTGTCTTGATAACCAGCTGCACACACACATGTAATTGTAACGGACTCACAAAGCATGTGAGAAAGGTGGAGAAAGGCACACTCCTTTCAGAGCAGCAAGCATCACTTCAGAAGTGGTCCTCAGGAGTTAGTGTCCTTTGAACATTTTCTCCTTGGTATGCAGGTGTGTTGAGAAATGAACAGGCAAAAGATTGGTTGGTGCTGTTCCATAGAGGGGTGATTTGATGCCTGAAAGCTAGATGAGATAAAGGACCTGTAGAAGTACCCCTAACTATTCTTAAATTATTATTTAAAATTAAAAAAATAAAAAAGAAGAAAAAAGGACACTCCAAACATGTCCAAGTTTTAAAAAGCTACTCTCAACCAGTCCCATGCTTAAAAAGTGATCCTCCAATTGATCCCAAGTTTCACATGACTACTTCAAACTTCTCGGAAGTCACAAAATCGTCCCCTGTGTGGGTTCCGGGGCCCCATTGTGGGGAAAACAAGAATAGACCCACTGCCTCCCTAAAAGCATGTTGTAAGAGTCGACTAACTGGGGACCTTCCATTGAAGTCAGAGTGCATCTGCCGGAGAGGCAGGGAACCAACAGTCTGTATTCAAGAGAATGAGATCTGTAAAACTGATGCACACGCAACACTCAGGTTCTGGAGCAGGACTGCAGTTCAGTAATGGACGAGCAACCAGAACCTTCCGCCAGAGTTTACAGCTGGTGAAAGGGAAGAAGAAAAAGAAGACAAAACCGTGTCAAGAAAAGTGCATAGAAAAACTCACATCATCCTTGGAGTTGATCTTCCAGAGGCGGAAGTCCTCACGGTAGAGTCTCAGCTTGTGGCCTAGGAACTCATAAATCTGGGACAAGGTGTGCTTGCGGCTAAACGAGGCAGTGTGGGCATGGTAACGCCTGGGTTGTGTGGGGTTTGCAGCCAAATCTGGAAACAGTCAAATGAAAATGATTTTTTCTCATGGTGAAGGTTTGGAAATGTAAACAAGTGGAAAACATAAAGAGTAGTGTGTGAACATATAACTTGAGATAATGTTGACATGTTCCCCGTGTGGGTTCCGGGGCCCTATTATAGGGAAAACAAGAATAGACCCCCTGCTTACCCAAAAGCATGTCATAAGAGTCAATTACTTTGGAGCTTCCTTCAAAGTCGGAGAGCATCTGCCTGAGAGGCAATTAACCAACAGTCTGCATACACATAAGTCAGATCTGTAAAATGAATGCGCATGCAACACTCAGGTTCTGGAACAGGACTACAGTCCAGAAGTGGATGAACAACCAATACTTTCCGTCAGAGTTTACAGCCAGTGAATGTGAAGACGAAGAAGAATGTTAACATGTGAAATAAAAATATCATTATCACAGGAAAATATGGAATTTCACTTCAAAACATTGACATCGCACATGAAAGCACAGTTAGATCTCACATACCAAAATCAAAAAAAAAAAAAAAAAAAAAAGGTCGACATCTTACATGACAATATTAACATCTCAATGACATCTTACATACAAAAACAGAGACCTCACTTATAAAAATACTGACATCTTATATGAAAACAATGACAACTCACATGAAAATAGAGCATCACACATGAAAGCACTGACATCTCACAGGAAAATGATATCTCACATGAAAACAGAAAGATCTTACTTGAACACACTGACATCTCAGATAATAGCACTGATATCTCCCATGAAATTGATATCTTACATAAAAACATTGATCTTACATAGAAACACAGAGATCTCAATGAAAACACTGACATCTCACATGAACTCAATGATCTCCCATTAAAATGCAAATCTTACTTGAAAACACTGATATCTCTCATGAAATCTTGATATCTCACATTAAAACATTGACATCTCACTTGAAAACAAAGATATATTTATTATCTGAAAGCCCCAGCTCTCATGAAATCATTGGCCCTTCCCATAAAAACACTGCTATCTCACATGAAAACACAGAGAAATGATCTGAAAGCTACTGACATATCACATGAAAACACTGACATCTCAAATTAAATCTTAGAAACTGCAAATTAAATCGCTGACATGTCCCAGGAAAACACAGAGATCTCACAAGAAAGCACACAGAAATCTCATATGAAAGGACACAGAGATCTCACAAGAAAGCACACAGAAATCTCATATGAAAGGACACAGAGATCTCACAAGAAAGCACACAGAAATCTCATATGAAAGGACAAAGAGATCTCATACTAAAGCATTTAGAGATCTCACACAAAAGCATGACATGAAGATATGCACACGTGAACTGAAACAACAGAGATCACAATGACAAGAAGAACTTACTCCAGGCCATGCCCCCAATCCCTGCCACCATGCCACTGATGGTGTTGGCCGGGGGCGGCCGCTGGCTGGGTGTCTGGTGTCGGAAGATCCTCACGCAGATGGGGTAGAGTTCGAGCTCCAGGCTGAAGCTTGATACATTTATCACCTGTAGATATTTGGGCAAGCAATCAAATAGTGGCATGATTATGACAAGGGACTCTAGTCATCAACAAGAAAGATTGAATACATCAACAAGAAAGATTGAATACATCAACAAGAAACATCAGCAAGACAACAATATGCCTGAGGGAACAGGAACAAGAAAAAAGGAACATGAACAAGAAAGAAGGAACATAAACAAGAAAGAAGGAACATGAACAAGAAAAAAGGAACATAAACAAAGAAAGAAGGAACACGAACAAGAAAGAAGGAACACGAACAAGAAAGTAGGAATATGAACAAGACAGAAGGAACATGAACAAGAAATAACATCAATAAGACAGAAGGAACATCAACAAGAAAGATGGAATGTCAATAAGACAGAAGGAATATCAACAAGAAAGAAGAAACATCAACAAGAAAGAAGAAACATTAACAAGAAAGAAGTAACATCAATGAAGACAGAAGGAACATGAACAAGAAAGAACATCAATAAGACAGAAGGAACATCAACAAAAAAAGAAGGAACATAAAAAAGACAGAAGGAACATCAATAAGACAGAAGAAACATCAAGAAAACAGAAAGAACATCCAGAAGACAGAAGAAACATCAAGAAGAAAGAACATCAATAAAAAAGAAGGAACATCAATAAGAAAGAAGGAACATCAACAAGAAAGAAGGAACATCAATAAGACAGAAGGAACATCAACAGGAAAAAAAGAACATAAAAAAGGCAGAAGGAACATGAACAAGAAAGAACATCAATAAGACAGAAGGAACATCAACAAAAAAAGAAGGAACATAAAAAAGACAGAAGGAACATCAATAAGACAGAAGAAACATCAAGAAAACAGAAAGAACATCCAGAAGACAGAAGAAACATCAAGAAGAAAGAACATCAATAAAAAAGAAGGAACATCAACAAGAAAGAAGGAACATCAACAAGAAAGAAGGAACATCAATAAGACAGAAGGAACATCAACAGGAAAAAAAGAACATAAAAAAGGCAGAAGGAACATGAACAAGAAAGAACATCAATAAGACAGAAGGAACATCAACAAGAAAGAAAGAACATCAAAAAGACAGAAGGAACATCAACGAGAAAGAACATCAATAAGACAGAAGGAACATCAACAAGAAAGAACAGCAATAAGACAGAAGGAACATCAACAAGAAAGAAAGATCATCAATAAGACAGAAGGAACATCAACAAGAAAGAAAGAACATCAATAAGACAGAAGGAACATCAACAAGAAAGAACATTAATAAGACAGAAGGAATATCAACGAGAAAAAGGAAACATCAAGAAGGAAGGACCATCAACAAGTAAGAAAGCATATTAACAAGGAGGAGCATAAACAGGAAAGAACATCAGCAAGAAAAAAGAAATTATATTACAGACCCAAAAAAAAACAAAAAAAACATTGAGATTGCAGGCTATAAATACAAACTAATTTCCTTTGGAAAATTTGTGCTACAACGAACAGATGAATTTGCATAAATAAACAAAAAATACAACAAAACAACAACAAATGGGCTTACAGTTCTTGGTAAAGCTGGCGAGCCTCCGTACCATGTGGTAAGTGCCCTCCAGATGCATTCTGGGACAATTTCGAAATCTTTCCCCCGAGTCAATACAACATCTTTTCTCAGCCGTCCTCCTTCGTTTGTCATGGAAACATACTGTCAAACAAAATAAATTTTTTTTATTAACTTAAAATTTTTTTTTTAAACCAACAGAGTTTTTTGTTTTGTTTAGCTTTAGTTATCAGATATTGTGAAAGTCAGTATTTTTCTTCTTTTCTAATTACTGTTTTTTAAAGTTCCAAGTGGTGAACATTAAAAAAGGCAGATGTGGTCAAGGCCCTTTGGGAACAAGCAACAGAATCAGTAGAGAAACATGATTATTATGGCCTGGAGAGAATGAGGCACCCTCTAGAGGGTCTAGCCGGCTCACTAGGAGGAAAGGTAAGACGGAAATATAACCAGATTGTAATCAGTACCATCAGTATTGGAACTCTGCGCTGACTGCTGAAGATGAGGTCGGAGAACACATGGGAATGCCCTGAGTGCTGTGATGACAATTCTTGACTCAACTAAGAGTTCTTCTGTAACATTTCAAATAAAAGTCTTGTTTCTTATTCTGATTACATGTATCTGAGATTTTTCTGCCCATGAAGGCTATCAACAAATCTATGCAAAAACAAAAATAAGACTAAACAGAAATTGCTTTAAAAAAAAAGAGTATACTACTTTTACTGCAGTGAATGACAGAGAGTGAGGTTTTGAGCCTGAAGATTTATGGCTGCATGGCCAGTGCAGTCACCACAAATTGTGCAGACTGGGATGGTTAATTCTGCCCCTGACAGAAGAAACTTCCGCCATCTACAGAGGATTTCTCCTTCTTCTTCTACATTCACTTTTACAGAGGCAGTTGGCACACTACGCTGTGGTTTACAGCTAGGGTGTGATATCTGTAACGTTACTCCCAGGTCACACAATTGTGTCTGCATGAGAGATGGCCTCTACCATGATACACAGTCTGCAAGTGGAACATTATTAATACAGGTACTGAGGTGAATTCATGGGACTGCGTTCTATGAAGGAGGAAATTAGGAAAGGAAGAAGGATAAAGAAAAAAAAAACAGTGCAGATAGGTCATGAGCTTAGAATCTGTGAATAAGCAGGTTAAATACATGCGATGGCAAGATTGGTTTTGAAACCTCATGACTCTAACTGTGAAATACTGTTCTTAAAGCAAGCAGATCTTGCTAGTCACTGGCCATCGCCACGGGTTGTGATGTTCATGTATCCCTACTGCAGGGCTTTAACCAAGCTTACTCACAGGCCAAAATATTGAAAATGAGGACCGTCACAGGCAATACAACTGGTACTTCTTCTTCTGCGTTCGACATCAGTCATGCTAAACATTGAGTCCCGTCTGGGTCACAAATAGGATTGTGCGTTTAAGGTCGCCACCGGTCTCCCATAGCTTCTCTTGCAATGTGGCCCCCTTGGGCCAGATCCACAGTCTTTGCTGGGAGAGGTTAGGGCAGTACTGCAGTATGTGCTCAGGGGTCTGTCTTTCTGCTCCACAATCACAGGCAGCAGATTCTTTTATGCCTATCCTGTACAAGTGTGCTCGAAGACCACAGTGTCCAGTCCGAAGTCTAAAAATTGATGTTTGTTCTTTCCTGTTGAGTTTGTTTATGCTGTCACTCTCTGGTCTGTAATCTCCATTCTGCCTTCTCCACTTCCCCTTGAAAGACTGCTTTAGCGCTGTTTTGGTTTCCTTGAAGCTGTGTGGTGGATAAGGTTGTGGAAGATTACTCCCAGCTTTTGCCAACTCATCTGCCCTCTCATTTCCTTGAATACCACAGTGGGCTGGTATCCACTGCAAGACCAGTTCTGCTTCCTTGGAGAGTAAGCCAATGTTGGTCCTTAGATCTGCAATTAGTTTGTCTTGTTTTTTGCTGGATAGTGCTTGGAAAACAGACAATGAGTCACTAAGTATAACAATTTGGTGCCCTCTGTGTTCTTGAGTGATGAGATGTTGGACTGCAGAGAGGAGGGCAGTTGCCTCAGCTCTGAAGTTAGTGCAGATGTCACCTGCTGGTAGAGAGAGAGTTTCTGCTCTACTGCTAGGGGGTTTAATGTATATTCCACAACTCCCCTTTCTGACTGCATCTGTAGCAGAGCCGTCTGTGAAAACCTGAGTCCAAGTGGTGTTTGGATACTTCTCATCAAGCATAGCAAGAGCCAGGGTTCTCTGTTGTGTCTCCGTCTGGGCATCTTTTGAAGTATTTCCTGGTACCTTTAGGACTACATTTGCTTCCTCTGGCTTGCTTGTCCATAGTTCTAGCCTAAGTTTTTCGCACAGTGCAACATCTCTTTCAAGCAGATCTTGGTGCTGTCTGTACAGTTCTCTAGCAAGATGGTTGGGGCTCTGACGCTTCAGTCTGTTTTTTGTTCACTCTTGAAATTTAAAATGCAGTGGGTGACTTTAAAGTCTTTTTAATTTCTCATACTGTAAAAGAGTTTTGTATTGTCTTCTGAGTTTTCGAGTGGTTCACTATCTGCTATCCTTTTTATCTCTCTGATGGAGGTGGTTTTCATGGCTCCGAGAACAATCCTTAATCCCATATTCTGAACCTTGTCCAGTTTTCCCATTGTTGTCTTGGCTGCTGCAGCCCATGCAGTGGAGGCATATTCCATGACTGGCCTGACTGCTCCAGTATATACTTGTATTAGGATTCTGGAGTCAGCGCCCCATGTGGTACCCGCTAATTTTTTCATCACTGCAAGCTTCTTGAATGCTTTCCCCTGTACTGCTTCTACATGTGACTTCCAAGTTAGTCGAGAATCAAGTTTAACGCCCAGAAAGGTAGGAGTGTCAGTCTGTGGAATGAGCTGGTTTTTTATCCACAACTGGTACTTGCTAGGCTTCCGCAAGCCAGATGTGGCCTGCAGGCCACTAGTTGAATAGCCCTGCCTTATAGCACAATGGAACACTATTGTCTGGGAATGTCTAACATGCAGTGACGTTGACTGTGATAACATTAACATAACTATCATCTGAAAAGACGGAAATTTGCCAACAAACAGGAGTGGCCTGAGAAGAGGTTATAGTTTTACCGTTATATCAAGACGCACCTTTGTTGAAATAACTGATGGATGGATGCAATTACAAGACCCACCCTGTCGGGAGTGAATGTTGGATGTATACAATTACAAGGCCCACCTTGACGAGAGTGAATAATGGATCTATACAATTACAAGACCCACCCTGTCGGGAGTGAATGATGGATCTATACAATTACAAGACCCACCATGACAAGAGGGAATGATGGATCTATACAATTACAAGACCCATCCTGATAGGAGTGAATGATGGATAAAAGACCCACATCGGCTGTGCTGTTTAGTGGATCAATACATAGATAAGACCTACCTTTGTTGGGTTGACTAATAAGTGATTGTTATTGATGGCTGGCGGCTTGGATAGAGCGCCCATAGGCACAGATTTACGTCCCAACTTCGGGGACAGGCTGGAGCTACGATGTGTTGGCGTGGAGTCACCAGGGACCAGAGAGTTTGCTGTGGATCTGAAACACACATTTGATGACTGTCAGTCACTGACCAACTACTGAATCACAGAAACTGTAACAGTCATCAAAAATTTTAAAAATATTTTTATTAAAAAAAAAATACTTTTGGGGGAAAGAATAGACACACTGCCACCTCAACAAGCTGGTTGCAGGATGCGACCTACTATGGGTGTTTGCTTCCAAGTCAGGACTGCACCCCCTGAGATGCTGTAAAACAGATGTGCAAGCAGAACTGAAGTTCTGAAACAAGGCCAAAATCCAGAAGTGTAGGAGCAACCAGAACTTTTCAGTAGAATTTACAGCCAGTGAATACTAGTTATAATAATAAGAAAATATACACAAAATGTCCCTGAGAGTTCAATGGATATTGAATGTTGAATTAAGAATCAATATCACAGCACTCAGGACACTCCCATAAGTGCTCAGTTCCCATCTTCAGTAGCAAGCAAAGTGTTCCAATTCCGATGGTGCCTGTAAATATCTCTATATCCGTCTCATCTTTCCCCTGTGCCGTGAACACTTGTCTCCATGTGAGATTCAATTTTTCGTTATTTTGAAGCCCCATCCTGGTTCTTGCCAGGGGCCGCAATATAACCCGGCCATAAATATGGTCAAATGACTCAGCGTGGTTTCCAGGACCTTTCCACGGGTGATCCTCACCCACATGGTGGCACTTTGTGTCATTGGGTGTTTATGGCTTGTGTGATGTCCTAGTGGGGTAAAATGTACTACTACTACTACCTGAGTGTTAAGCGTCGGCAAGATCCCCTGGTAACTCCTCGCAGCCCCATTCTTCTCAGACCATAATAATCCGCACTGTTCACCCGTTCCCAAAGGGCCCTCAAAACATCAGTTAACCACCAAGTGGTGCAGTGCCAGCCAGTCTATCTGCCTGCTCATTTCCCAACACACCGGCATATCCAGGAGAAAATATCTAAAGGTTGCTAAATACCCAGGACCTCTGAAGTGATGCTTGCCACTCTGCACAAAGCATGTCTGTTTTCACTTTTCTCTATATGCTCTGTGAGTCAGTTACAATCACGGCCCGTGTGTACAGCTAATTCTCAAGCTAGCAGAAATTAAAAAGAAATTAAAATTAATTAATCGGTAAACAGAAACGACAAGGGATAAAATACGTGGACTATTTAAACCTTTCTACCTAGACAGTTGTTTCTTAAACATGTTCTATTCTTTTTCTGCTTCATATTCCTTTAAAATGGCAATTGGTATGTTGTGTTGTGGTTTACAACTAGGCTGCAATATCTGTGTTGACCCAATTCATCCAATTTCAGCAAACCTGCAATCACCCACTGTTTACAACTTGCTTGTTAAGGGGGCATTGAGTTTATTATCCGCCCCCCCCCCCCCCCAAAAAAAAAAAAAAAAACACGGGGGCCTGGAACCCACACATGGAAACAACAACAATAAATGTACTATGTAATGTAAATAGTGGCATAGAGAGAAGGAGAGAGAGACAGAAAGACATAGAATTAGGGAATAGGGGGAGAGAGAGAGAAACAAACAGACAGAGATTGGGGGAAGACAGAGGCAGAGAATAAGGTGGATTGGGGAGGGGAGAGCACACACCTATCAGTAGAAGAGAGGAACAACAGCATCAAGAGAAGCCTTAAAGAAATGAGGTAAAACTTATACAATATATCACAAAAAGCACACAGAAGACTCCCAACCTCCATTTTTAGCAAGATAAGTGTAGGAAGGGAACAGAAGAAGAAGAAGAAAATTATGCAGAGCTATGATCCACACTTGAAAACATTATCAACAATTAATCTATCTTGCTATGATCCACACTTGATAACATTATCAACAATTAATCTATCTTGCTATGATCCACACTTGATAACATTATCAACAATTAAACTATCTTGCTATGATCCACACTTGATAACCTTATCAACAATTAAACTATCTTAGAGCCACAAGCATCAACAACCAACAAAGTCTTGGTCTCTATCCAAGCACACAGTGAGACACATGAAACTGATAGTGACGGACTCAATCAGCACTCTTAAGAAGAGCCAAAATGGCTAATTCCGACTGGAATGGGTTAACAGCAGACACAAGTTCTACCTGAAGATACTATCTTAGCTGGATATACTGGGGTGAAAGAAATAAAAGGACAGATTGGCCATGTCTGCGATAGTTAGTGGAGGAAGAAGTATTGACAAGGCTGACACAATGCCACGTTATAGAGATGTTGAGACAAATGAGTCGGAAACAATGAACAGCCTGTTGGAAATGGGTATTGAACAGGGACAAGCATGCAGAAACCTGTTGTGGCAGAAAGAAACAAGATATGCCATGGCCAAAAGAAACAAGATATTCCAATAAACTCCTACTGGGTACTGTCAGCATGGAGTCAGAGGGATGGCTGCTGCATTGGAGGTCAGATTAATGTGTCAGGGTGCCAAGAGGACGGAGCACGAGTGGGTCAGATCACTGTGACAGTGTGTCGGGAGGATGGAGCACGAGTGGGTGGGATCACTGTTACAGGGTGTCCTTACAGACAACAAGTAAAAGATAATACCTGGCTGGTTGGCTGCCGTTATCACCTCCTGCCCTAGATGTGCCAACCATAATGACCGTATCATCCTCCCAGGTTAAAGGTTGCTGCTTGCCCTTGACCTTCTGCTGCCTGCTGACACTTGCCTGTGGGGGAAATATCAAAGTCAGTTACAGAGGATTATATAAAGGTTTTCTCAAACTCTTCGCACTGCAGGGGAAATATCAATTTTATACATTCCAGATGGAGAGATTTCTAGACAAAAGGAGTCAAATCTGAGACAGGTTCACATTTCTATATATGCATTACAGATTTTCTAGAAGGTGCCAATCCTATCTTGGTTGACTGAGTAATTAAGATTTTCTGTTTAGACTGACAGTTGGTTTTGAGACAAAGGACATAACTCTGTATCCCTTCTAGACTGATAGAGATGGGGCTGCATGTTCACTAAGGGGACAAGACGTTTCACTAACCAACACAGAACAGGCATCATCACATCGTTTTACACTTGTGGAGCTTTTGAAGAGGAGATCGGAGCACCTATGGATCTGTCCAGAGTGCTGTAATGATAATCCTTTCTAATCACTAATCAAAAAGAAAATGGCAATATCAATATCAGGCAGAGAATCGTCAAACAGGAACCAAAATGGGAAACAAACTAAGGAAATGGTGGCACCCTAAAGAAACCCTAAGTTGACAGATGCCAAAGGTGCTGGACTGGATTGAGCAGAATTGAACAGGATAAAACAGAACAGAGGACTAGACAATGAGGTGTTTGTGACAATAAAGGCGCCAACAAAAAAAAACCCCAGTTAACTTAAGGTTGTCATAGTTACCTCAGGGTTGACATACTCCAGCCATGTGTTCCACCACTGCATAGAGACCAGGTACCATATCTGACCAACTTCCAACGGTTTTTGATTTTCTCTCTCCAGCCAATGCCTGCAAAGAAACAGCCGTTTCAGGTACAAAAATGTCTGCAAGAAACAGGTACTGCAAGTAAAACATTATCTGCAACACACAGTTGTTGCATGTCGTGCAAGAAACAGTGGCTGTATATATAAAGTCTGCAAGAAAGGTGCCTGCAAGTACAATGTCTGCAAGACCAGTTTCGTGCCAGGACAAGTAGGTGTGCAAAGAAATGAGCAAGCAGATAGGCTTGCAGGCAAGGCTACTGTAACTGTGAAGGGTGCATGAGCCATGGACCATGCTGATGTACTGAATGATACACAAGTAGTAAGAGCCTTTGAGCAAGGCAGAGCACTAAAGATGCCTTGGTCATCCACTGGACCCAGGTCCATTTCCAATCGTCACGACACTGTCCTGCCATTGGATCAAGATGGGCACAGGCGAGAGAGTGAGGTCGACAAAGTGCGCAACTCTTCTTCACTTAAATCCAAGTCCGTGCGCAGGTTAGTTTCATCCAGCTTCTTTGGATGAAAGTGGTCTTCATCACTGGGGATGGAGAAACAACAACAACAACAGTAAGAACCTAGTGACTGTGAATCTGCAACCATGGTCAGACAGTTAGAACAGTAAGTTGAATGGGATGTGGCCAAACAAGAGCACCATGCAGGAAACCAAAGAAGAATAAGAAACCAAACACAGAACTAGTGTCACTGGTCATGACGTGATGCGGGATTTACAGAGGGAATCCGAGCACTTATCCACTCAATGATCCGATGTGCAATGAGGATAATCTGTTGACTAACTAACAGTGGTTGCATGTACAACAGTATCTACAATAAACAGTGGGCGGTGTTATATTGACACCATCACTGAAAAATGCAGCTGGGTCTATTTAAAAAAAAAAATATTGATACTGTATACCCAATGCCTCAGTGGGTGGAAATGGACCTTTTAATTACTTACAAATGGTTGGCCATGCGTTTGAGAACGTTGGTCTCTTATTCGCGAGACTCTGGTGTGAATCCTTAATAAGGTGACAGATTTCCTCCGTCAAGGAGAAAAATACAATCTTAAGCTGAACAGTGCGTGGCAAATGCACTAGTCATCTGGCTCAAGGACCCCCCCACCACCCAAACAGTTGTACATCCATGCAGTAAACACTTACAACAATATCTATAAAAGAAACTGCCTAGTACAAGGAAGTCCAACAAATTGTAGGCCAGGTATAAAATGTTTCTACTTACTGAATAATTTTTCCCTCCTCCTCTTTCGTCTGCGGTGAAAGTCCTAAAACAATATGGCAGATCTGGCAAGAGACAATGAAAAATGTCACATTTCATGAATTCAACAAAGATCTTAATTGACTGACTTGTCAACCTAATTACCTACAATCAGCTGCTTCAAAGGAGCCGTGGTGGCATAGAAAATATCTAAAGGAAGCCAACTACCCGGCACCTATGAAGTGATGCTTGCCACTCTGCAAGAAGCAAGCCTGTATCCACCTTTCTCAACATACTCTGTGAGTCAGTTACAATTACGGCAGGTGTGTACAGCTGATTCTTAACCCAGCCTAAGGCAGCAGTGACTTCCTCCACCTCCACTCTCAAACTAGATGTTGTGATATCATATGCATTGGTAGTTAGCATCTTTTGGTCTGGATATTTTCTCCAAGTCATACCGGTGTGTTGAGAAACGAGCAGGCAGATAGACTGGCCGGTTCTGCACCACTTGGTGCTGAACTGATGTATGACAAGCTGTATGATGTGAGGGCCCTTTGGGAGCGAGTGAACAGTGCTAAGGCACAAACAGATCATTACGGTCTGAGATGAATGGTGCTGCGATGAGTTACTAGGGAATCTGGCCAACACTCAAGTGAAAGGCCAAACGGATATACAATCAGACAGTTACTGGCGCCATCGGTACTGGAACTCTTTACATGCTGCTGAAGATGGGGATGAAGCCCTTATGGGAGTGTCCCAAGTGCTGTGATGCAGATTCTTAATTCAGCATTAAACACTGTTAACTCATCAGATACACAGAACCAAACAATCATAACCCCAGACACCTCAAACTACAGTCACTGACTGACCTGACCCAACAGCTCCAGGAAGTCTAAGGTCAGCTGGTTGTTCACCGTCCACAGAAGGTAGTCTTCTATTGTTAGCGACCCTTCCTGTGGAAACAAGGTCAAAGTATTGTTATCTGTCATCTCACATATAGATACCACCATGTTATAATGAAATAATGCCCCCTCCCAAGCTCCTGGTATTTACCATTTTTGCAGTGGGGGCACGGGAAGTTTTTGAGACTGAGAATTAGGGTTGCTCTCACCACGGATTTAGCAGGTTAAGATTTCATTTTAGCTATGACAGAAAAAAAAAAAATCCATGACCTCACTGAAAATTCAAAACTGTGTCTCTCTCTATATTGAAATAATAATGACATTTTAGTTCTCATTGTCCAGCTGAGACACACACCTTCAATGGGTGATGTGTTCAATATCATACTGGCCACCTTTACATCCCAGGACATTACCTACCTGGTACCTATTTTAAGCTCAGCTGACCTGTGAGCCAAGGTTATATTTTCCCCCCAAAAATCTACTAGGTGTGGTTCTGAACCCAAAACCTTTGGGTTTAGACCTGAAAATATGTCACTTGGTTTTAAAACTATAAAATTTAGATATATATAAATATTTTTTTTCAGGCTTTGCTATTGCATGTTACAATTTATTTATATGCATTTCCTTGTATTTTCGATAACTACTTGCCAGAAGGTAAACTATCATAGCACCTCCCCACTCTCAAAGCTGAACATACGCAGGCAATATGTAGAATATGTAAAATCTTTATAAAACTAGAATGTGTAATAGGGTACGAACCTTGTTGACGTCATGACAAGAGAGGATCTCCTTGGCAACAGTTTCAGGATCCAACTCTGGCAAGTCCTGTGACTGCTGCAATATAACACAGAATCTGTCACTGAAACCGTCTGCAAAATCTCAACATTGTTTGAAAGACACTTAATGTCTACAAACTGTTTCACAAAAACTTGTTTCAGATTACTCAGAAGTACCAACTGTTAACAATTGTTGCGGCCATGGACATAGTATGTGCATCTGCTGGAATACAAGACAATATTTTACTGTGATGGAACATAAGACTAGGAGCATGTAACAGCCACACTTCTGGAACACAAGACACCCCTACTGTGTTGGAACACAAGACACCATTACTGTGTGGGAACACAAGACACCACTACTGTGTGGAAACACAACATTACTGTGAGGGAACACAAGACACCCTTAATGTGTGGGAACACAAGACACCCTTACTGTGTTGGAACACAAGACACCCTTACTGTGTGGGAACACAAGACACCATTACTGTGTGGGAACACAAGACACCATTACTGTGTGGGAAAGCAAGACACCCTTACTGTGTGGGAACAAAAGACACCACTACTGTGTGGAAACACAACATTACTGTGAGGGAACACAAGACACCCTTACTGTGTGGGAACACAAGACACCTTTACTGTGTGGGAACACAAGTCGAGGAACACCTACCAGGACAGCTGCTGAGTTGTAGACCTTCCTTACTATGTTCAGAGCTTCCAGCATTGACCTGACTTCTTTTTCATTTAGTCGAGAATCATGGTCCAAGTCGAAGATTTTGAAACAAACTGTAAAAAAGTTCAGCACAGTGTCACTGAAGAGGAGAAAAAATGATTATGAGAATAAGCTTCTTCTTCTTCTTCATTTCCGCCTTCTGAGCCCCTGAGGGTTACTACTGCAGATAGCACTGGGTTCCATTTATCTCTTTCCAGATACCAACTCCAAGTGTTTGTAGATTTGCTTTAATATCGTCTCTCCAGTCTTCTTAGTCTGCCTCTATGGCCATTCAACTTCCTTGTACACACAGTTTTTATCTCTCTGTCATCTGTCCTTCATATATATATATATATATATATATATATATATATATATATATATATATATATATATATATATATATATATATATATATATATATATATATATATATATATATATATATATATGCCTCAGCCATTTCAGTCTTTTTGCCCATATGATAAAATTACTATATTTAATACAAATAGTGGTAAATATCACGAACCTGCCCGCAGCTTGCCGGCGCACAAGATTTCTTATCAGCTCCCATTCATGCCATGGCTATTTCCATAGACTGTTCTATATTCAAGGGGTGTTAGCATATACAGTGTCGCCATCTACACGCAAAGTGCAGAAAATCATTCCAGTCCTGACACGATGAGAGTGCGCAGGCGACACTGGGCAACTGGGTGTTTTTCTGTTTTGTTTGTTTGTGTTGTGCAGAAAAGCAATGCTACTCTGCTAGGCACCCGCCAATGCTAACAGCTGAAGGAAAATCATCTTGCAGTTCAAGTAAGGCCGCAGTGATAGCGATGAAGAGTCACTGCAGGATACTGTAACCCACACAGTGCCGCCGGCTAACAACATGGACAATAGAACAGGCTCCTGGCTGCTCACTACATGGAATACAGAACGCTTAGAGCGTTGAAAATAACACAACGTGACACCCTTAGAACATAGAACTGCCTGTGGGAATGGCCATGGCATGAATGGGAGCCGACAGGAAATCGTACGTGTTGGCCAGATGCTTTCAGGCTCGTCATATGTACCAAAATGGTGATCTGTATCAACTCCACTGTGCAGCAACCACAACTGACGGCAACTGATCATCAGAATTCTATTTTCAGAAACATCATAATCACTGTCCTGTCGTGCCATTATAATATATGTCTCATAAGGCTCACAGTCACTGTCCATCCCGTTCCATCCCTACGATATCATGGCTGGAATTCAGTCCAGCACCTTGGTTTTTCTCATCAACATTAATTTCAGGTTATCTTTTGGACTTTTTTTTGCTTCCTCGATACCCCTGTTTCCCATTTTAGTGCCCGTCTAGTATTTCTCTACTTGTCTTTTCTCAGGATGTGTAAAATATAGTGCCATCTTCTTTGTCTCACAACTGCTGTCACCAGAGGCTGCCCAGAGATGTCTCTCATTTCTTCACCCCTCTAGAATCCATCCCATTTTATGTTGAATATTTTCTTCAGCATTTAAAAAAAAATGCTTTTAACTTTCGTTCCATGTCTTTAGTGGTCCTCCAACTTTCACTGGCAAATGTTAAAACTGAAATAACTTTACACCTGAAAATATGTAACTTGGTTTTAAAACTAATAATTTTTTGTTCGGGCTTTGCTAATGCACGTCACAATACCTTTATTTGTGTTTCCTTGTATTTTCCTTAACAACTTACTTACTTAGTTGCTCCTCTTCTACCCTACAGTGTAGAGGCAGAGCTTTCCCAGACAGATCGCCAGACTTCTCTATCAGCAGCTTTCTTTCTTGGTAGCAACACATCACAAAAATATCACAAGTATACAATTTAAAATACAGCTAATAGGTCACTCCGGCACACCAGGTAATGACAGAGCTGACAGATTGGCAAAGAAAGGAGCAACACAAGAACAACCACCTACAGCGACAACCCTCCAGACAGCAAAAAAACTGATAAGAGCTATAAACAAAGAGACACGGTTGAACAGATGGGCCATGGGAGACACTGGAAGAGAGGTTTATACACATATGTCTGGCCCTGATCCTAATGACAGCATTAACCATCTAACAAGAAGGGACCAGGCCACCATCTTCAGACTTAGAACGCAACATACTCCACTCAATGGACACCTAAACAGAATACAGCCACAACACTCCCCAAAGTGCCAGCTATTTAACTACCCCTACGAAACTGTTGAACACCATCTCTTTGAGTGCCCAAAACTCAGTGAGACAAGAAGAACGCTACTCCCTCCGATACCAGACAAGTGGAACACCTTGTACGGAGGAAAAGAACAGCTTGTGAAAACATGCAAATTCCACTACATGGCATTGGGCCAAAGGGCGAAAGCTCATGCGCCGCTGGATCGAAAACAACAACAAAATACAGCTAATAAACAAAATCATTCTTGGATTGGGGAGCATACACAAATAAATATAACTACAGAAAAAGAGAACATACACTTCTGTCGCTCTAGTGTTGGTCCCCGACAGCAGGCTGAAATACCACATGCCATCTCCTTGAAGTCGATGTGGCTGTCACAGTTCTCGTCAAAGGCTAAAAACACAGCTGTAGAAAATTGATCATAACAATTAGGGTCTATTATAGATGAGATGTCATAGGGCGACCGATGATCATACTGGTGATGCATGATAGGTAGATCTGGGTGAGTACTTATGATAGAAATATCACAGGGAGAATAGAAATGTCACAGGGAGACTAGAAATGTCACAGGGAGATCTGTGCTGGTAGTAGTAGCAGATGACACATCAGAGGACGGTTTGTGTCAATCCTGACAGTAGATGAGATGTCATAGGGAGATGGGTGTGGGTATTAATAGTGGATAAGAGGTCGCAGGTTTATCTGTGGCAACACCTATATGGTATGACAAGGAGATCTTGGGAACTAAAATTTTTTGAGGGGTGTGGGAAAGGGGGGGGTGGGGGGGTGGGGGGGGATTACCACTTGACACAGGTCACCAATAAATATAAAAAATAATAAAACCTTTCTAAATACAATTATATTTGTTTAAATAAATTAGGAGAGTAATTAATAAACATAAATGGTGTGTAAATTAAAATGGAATATGCAGGGAGGGCCTTACTCAGGGCCTGTCTGAACATCAAGGAAGATTGGCAAATAAACAGCATCCTGTCTCGGAAGCTGAAATATTTTGGTCATATCAAATTAGGACTTAAAATGGTTGACAAAAACCATTTTGGTCATAACACCCCCACACTAATTGAGTAAATATTATATATTCATATCCAAGCCTTCTAAACACTGCGCAGATGCAAACAGAACCCAACACTGATAACGGCTTTTCAGGAGCAAGTCACTACAGCCATGCTGGTCAAGCAGCATTTACAGGAATTTTATGTGGACTTCTAGTAATTTTCCCTGGTCTCTTGGTAGTAAGATCGGACAATCAAGTGTATTGTTGCGCATGTAAAAAAAAAATCCCTTGGAAGTTGGAAATCAAAAAGAGTCGCCTAAAGCGCTGCCTGGGCAACAATTTGGGGTTAAAAATCTACACACAGTATTCCAGAATCCTCACCGGTGCTACAGAGTTTGTGCATTGCACTGAGATTTTTTGGACTTAGGCTTGAGTTAGAAGTAAAACTGGGGACTTATGGGTTACCACCATTATGCCATGATATTGTTCCATCATCTAAACCTCAACCTTACAGGAATTAGTTACAAATAGAAATGGTGGGTTTGCAGCTTTCTAGCGCAACAGGGTTAACATAATTAATTTGGCAGAGATAGGTAATGGCCCTTACATTCACATAACTTGTCAGGCAGAGGTGGGCACACTTGAGATTTGAACAGCTCCAGGTCATAACGTCCAGTTTTAGATAATGATTTCAGTGACCAGTACCGCTTCTCTAGTTCGAGAATCTCTCGCTCTTCCACTGCAAAATAAAAGTAGTGTATGTTAGTATAGTATAGTATAGCATAGCATAGCACAGTATAGTATAGTGAGCATCGGTAGATCAGGTATTGCTAGCCTGCTTCGTAAAGCAGAGTTTGATTACAGCTGCAGTAGATGGACTTGTGTATGTTTAACAGTGGCATCGACAGCAGACTGTTTCAAATGCAGTGACAAACTACTGAATGTAAAAAATTGCCTAGAAAAATCACAAACAGCCAACAAATGTTGGGGTTGGTTCTGCATTGTCCTGTAAAGTATAGGAAACTATGTTAGTATATGTGGCTAACAAACTGTTATCTTCCTTACTTGCACAAAACTGCATATTACACCCAATTGGTGTAGCCATTTCAAGTACACTAATTAAAACTTCTCTGAAGGTTGTACAGGTTATTAAGGATCTGTCCTGGTAGACTCTTCGTAATGCCGGGATACCGGGTTCGATCCCAGCTGCAGGCCATGTGCATTGCCTTGGTTTCGACAGTGGTATCAAGAAAGCCGACCTTCCAGAAAGCAATGGCAAACTGCTGGACGTAAATTTGCCTAGAAAAACCGCACAACAGCCAGGGGCTGTTAGGGTTGGTTCTGCAACGTTCTGTAAAGGATACGCAACAAACCTGGTAGACTGGTCTGCCACCCAGATCAATTTTTACAATCTCAGAGCTTTCAACCTTAAGATAGCAGCAAGGAGAGGCCGCACACATCCATATATTTGTGGGTGTCGAGATAGCAGGGATCCCACACTTTAACATAAAATTCAAACGCATGTGTGGGGCTACACACAGATAACACACACCAGTTGGAGGTCACTAAAACAATGACAGGACAATAGAGGTGGCAAATAAATAAAACTACCATAATACATTTACTCATCAAACAACTTTAGAATATAAACAAGGATCAGCCAACAACAACAGCTATAGACAACTATAATAGTTGAGTCAAGAATTGACATCACAGCACTCGAGGCATTCCCATATGCACTCCGTCCCCATCCTCAGCAGCCAGCGCAGAGTTTTAATACTAATTGTGCCATCTGTAGTCTGGTTGTATGTCACCATCTTGCCTTTCCTTTCAGCACAGTGTGTCGGCCGAAACCTCTGGTCACAGCCAGGTGCATCATTCTTTGCAGCCCATACTAATCTAGTTTCTCTTCTGACTTTGTTACTTGTTCCCAAAGAGCTCTGACCACATCTGCCTTGTTATGTATCGATACACCACCCAGCTGTGCAAAATTTGGCCAGTCTTTTTGCCTGTTCACTCCTCACCACGCCGACATGGCCTGGAGAAAAGATTTAAAGTTTGCTCACTACTCGTGACCATGCAAGTCAAGCTTGCCACTCTGCTCGAAGCACTCCTGTCTAAACATTTTTCAGCATGTTTTCTGGGTCTGTTAAAATTACGACATTTGTATGTAGCTTGTTCTTTAGCCACAGACAAGCTGCAGTGACTGCCTCCACCTCCATTCTCATGCTAGATGTCGTTGTATCGTATGCTAGTTACTGTTTGACTTTCACCTTAGTAGCCCCAGCTGGCCACTCTCTGCACTCCAGGTCTAATGTGATCATGACCCTACATAGGTCAAGACTTTTCCTCTGGTACTGACTCACCCCTCTCCTCACTCAATGCTCTTTAGCATGCATACTTGTCTTATTGTGTCTTTTTGTCTTCTGCTTGAACCATCCATGATTTTCCCGTTTTTAGCCTCTGACCCTTGCCTGCAGCCAAAGCTTCATACAGAGGGTGCCCTTTAGCTGCAGCTACTCCGAGATATGACTTAGCCTGCAGCACCTTTCACGTTGACCATGTGATAACAAAAGCACGCAAAGGTCTATCTGCAATGAGGATTATGGCTGCTTCCAATATTGAGCAAAGACTACTAATACATCTATTCTACAGCTGGTCCTTTCCCCCATTGAATACGCTCTGGCCATCCTCACTGTCAGTGCTACCCAGATTGAATGACTCGAAAAGGTGCAAAATGAAGCCATGCGCATTATTTTGGGATGTACAAGAGACACATCCTGTGGAGCAATGAGGTATCTACTTGACTTTCCAACAATGAACCAAAGGATCAGGATGTGGAGGGCTCGGGCATATCTCAAAATATGTGCTGATAAGAAACACCCACTGCATCAAGCGCTTTTTAGTGAAAAGGGCGACAGACTGAAGAGGGGGAAATCGTGGCTAGGTCGGGTAGAAGATGTTATTAGGCAAATATGCAGCCTAACCGACATCATACCTGGTGCAGAATGGATACCTGTGCCTCAGGCGTTTATTTGTACATTTTCCTGTATTGTCACACTCAACAGGTGATGTAGAGAAGAGAATCCTGTTGCTGTTAATGCAGAGGTCAACGCTCTCATCAGTGAAAATTCAGACGAAGCAGATGCAATAATCTATACAGACGGATCCGTTATACACCAAAGAAGAAGCGCATGGGCATTTACAGCACGCTCAGCGGGCAGAACAGTCAAAGAAGCCAACGGCGCCTTCTCCATGACAACCAGCAGCATGACAATGGAGGTGATGGCAGTGTGCAAGCATTTGCCTCGCTTGAAACACAAAAATACACCCGTGTATGTATACTCAGTGATTCAACGAGTATGATCCGGAGGGTTCAGGCAGGTTCAGTGCGAAGACAATGGCTTGAATCATTACAGAAGTCCACTGTGCGTGGAGTCACCTTTATTTTTGTTCCGGGACACGCAGGCGTCGATGGAAATGAAAGAGCTGACAGGTTGGCTGGACCCGCTATCACTACCGACGGTCAGCCTATGGATCATGCTGATATTATCAATGCCCTCAGAAAAATGGGAAGGATAGAGGACTTTGGTGGCAGTGAATTTACATCACTGGCCAGAATGGCAGACTTGGGAATTAAGATCGGCACAGCAAAAAACGAGACGCACACCAGACATGCCAGAAGACTTGTTAATCAAAATAGAGCTGGTACTATTAGCCATCGGACGTTGGGGTTCATACTGAGGGGAGGATCTGAGCACCTATGGACATGTCCGGAGTGCAATGAGGATAACCCAACTAACTAACTAACTAACTAACCTTTAGCCTATCTGCAATAGTCGGCAATGCAAGGCTGCTCCACATGCACACAATCAGGGTGTCTATTCTCCATCCCAGGATCACTCGCACAGTATGTGCTCCAGTTTCACCAGCTGACTTCAGGATAATGAGCAAGCCCAGTCCATAATCAGTCACTGAGATGATTAAGTGCTGGTTTAGTGTGAACAGCATTCTTTGCTCCATGTCCATTGCTGCCATAATCTTTAGTGCATTAAGACCTTTATGAGCCTTTGACACAACCACCTCTATGTGATCCTTGAAAAACAAGCTTCTGTCAAAGGTGATTCCCAGGTACTGCAGTCTGCAGTCTCTCTTGATATCCGGGCCATTTATTTTGAGGCTTGGAACATCAGCTCTAACAATCCTATTGTCCAAAGAACACCACATGATGGTTGTCTTTTCTGGGCTGTTTACAGCACTTATCTCTGTACACCAGTCAATCACCTTATCTACTGTCGCCTGATATTTTTAGGCAATTTGATTCCAATCTCTCCCCTGCCTATATGCAAGAATGTCATCTGCGAATGTCAATATTCTACCAACATCAGGTGTTTGCAATTCCGCATTCTTGCTCATAAACACATTAAACAGCACAGGCGAAATAGACAACTGTCATAAAACACACCGCTCAAACCCCACAAATTAGGAAGATAAGCCTTAACACAACTTTCTTTACTTCCACACTCTGATTTGTTCTGCTAGGTACATGATGAGTATTTGAGCTAGGGATACTCAGTTGCCCAGTATGCTGTGATGTTGTGGAGTCTCAAAGTATCAGTGACTCCTTCGATCTTCTTCTCTGGTCATCCATTACCTCTTGGTGTCTCTCTTCTACTTTCATGTTACACTCTTTCGCTGCTGGCATCACTGAATTCATTCTCATCAAATGGTCACACCATTTTAGTCTTTGTTATCAGTGACCGTAATTATAGGTGTGGTACCAATAGTTCTTGTCATTTCTTTGTTTCTCTTCTAGTTTTGTTCACAGCCTTTCTGTCTTTCTTTGTTTGCTGCCTATATTTACCACTCTTTATGGCAGTCTTCATGGGGGAGGGGGGGGGGGGGGTCAAGAGCCTTAGGCTTTAAGGCCTCACTACTAGTGCAGCCAACATGGACTGTGACACAATTTTTAATTCTGCCGCCGACATTAAAAAAAAATATTGCCATCCCTAACCAAGGTTCAAACCTGGGCCTCACACATGACAGCCCAGAGCTTTAACCACCCAACCAGCCACTCCTCACATGCTCCTGGCTCACAACACACTCATTAAATGCAGCAACTCACAGTGAGTGACTCCAGCAAGGGTTTGGTAAAATGTGGGGGTGTCATGCTCTCCTCCCAATGACAGACTGGAAGACTCAGTAAGAAGCCACTTGCTGATCACTGTTGCATCTGGGTGGGACTTCAACCAATAGGAGAACTGTTCATAGGAGACCTGGTCCGACTGGAGAGCAATCACATGTACGTTAACACTATTTAACAGCACATAAATTATCATCATACCTCTAAATATTTCCCTGGCACACATACAATCTTCTTCTTCTTTTTTCCTTCCTCTGCTTTTCTAGCCCCGAGTGGAGCATAGACCCTCAACCAACTCATACCAAGTCGTTCTATCCTTCAATATCGCATGCAGCTCTCTCCATGTCCTCCCCATCTTTTTAACTTCACCCTCTAGCTCACTTCTACATGTGTTTTTTTGGTATTTCTTTATTTCTATGCCCCTGTGGGTTCCAGTGCAAAGACATTCTAGTCAAAGAATCGATACCTCATTTATGACTTTTTTTACTCAGGAAATATTAAACAATGCATACTGCAATACATCAGCAGTGAATTACAAAACAGGAAATGAAATGAGAAACAGTCTGAGACGAACACTACTATGAGACGTTGTGTGCAGCTCTTGTATGGATGACAATTGTGGACGATGAGTTAATAGGCAATGAAGTAGTGCATGCTGGCTTTGGATTTATACTACTACGCCTTTAGGCATAGAAGGGCATATAGGGCTAGACCCATATTTTTATATACCATTCAGCACAAGAAGGGTGATGTGGTCAGCATCATGCCGGCTGCCTTTACTTTCCAGGACTGCACCCGGTACCCACTCAAGGCTAGACCGACCTGGGAGTCAAGGTCATTTCTGAAAAAAGTCTGGCTACGCCAGGGAGCGAACCCACGACCTTCCGATCTGCACGAGTGTCTAGCCGCTACGCCACGGCAACTCCCACTGGATTTATTATTTCTAAAAATTATTTACTGAGATTTAAAGATTGGATACCAATGAAGGCCAAGGTTTGCCACAAACCAAGAATAGGAAGAAGAGGTAAACAATGAAATTTATCACAGACAGCATGATAGAGAAATGTTTATCAGGACTTTAATGTTGCGGAGTACCCCGCTTATATAGCATCAAAAGTTGGACTACAAATAAGTCATGAAAAGACAAATATAATGAAGACATCAATAAAAGATCAAGCAGATGTAACACTAAAGATAAAGAGAATTAAAGTAACAGATCAATTTACCTATTTAGGTATTTATTATTATGGTCACACAAACACAAAGACAGAAATTATGAACGGCACTGGACAGACATCAGCAGCATTTTAAAAGCCTGAATAAATAATGGCACTCTAAACTGTACAGCTTTGAAACAAGACTACATACTTTCAATAGTAATGTTATTTCAATAGTAATGTTATTTCAATAGTAATGTTATTTCAATAGTAACATTTGCCAGTAAAAGTTGGAGAACCATTAAAGACAGGGAACCAAAGTTAAATACATTTGGAAACAAATGTCTACGGGAAAATAATGTAAATGAAATGGGATACATCCAAGAAGTAGGAGAGATGTCTAGGCAGCCACTGGTAACAACAGTTGCAGAACAAAAAAGATGATGCTATACAGACTCAGATGAAGTGAGCACAGAAATCACTGTGTAAGCACTACAGTAAGAAACCTTAAAACGAAGGTTGATGAGAGAGGCCAAAGATGCTGGACTGTATTCCTTTCTTTTTTTTAAAGAGACTGCACATGATAGAACAGAATGGCATTATAGACTGCAAACGCTATGTGAGACATAATGGCAAAACATGACAATGATGAGCAGTACCTCTCTGAACAGCGAACAGAGAGCCTGGGAGACCTGACCCTCTGACTCCAAGACCCGTCTGTCCATCTCATCCTTCTGGACATAGCTGTACGTCTCGTCACAGTACATGGCAAATATCACTGAAACAATAATATCAACATCTTATAATAACGGTACATCTCGTCACAGTACATGGCTAATATCACTGAAACAATAATATCAACATCTTATAATAACGGTACATCTCGTCACAGTACATGGCTAATATCACTGAAACAATAATATCAACATCTTATAATAACGGTACATCTCGTCACAGTACATGGCTAATATCACTGAAACAATATCAACATCTTATAATAACGGTACATCTCGTCACAGTACATGGCAAATATCACTGAAACAACAATATCAACATCTTATAATAACGGTACATCTTGTCACAGTCCATGGCAAATATCACTGAAACAACAATATCAACATAATAACGGTACATCTCATCACAGTACATGGCAAATTTTCTTGACAAATGAATATCAACATGTTAGAACAACTGTATGTCTTGCCACAGTACATGGCAATTATAACTGAAACAACATCAGCATATCAGAACAGCATAAGTGTATGTCTCGTCATAGTGCATGGCAAAAGTCACTGGGGAAAAACACATCAGCATATTAGATTAACATTACGTCACAGCACATGGCAAATTTCATGGAAACAATGAAAAAATCACTGAAACAACAATAACAGCATATTATAATAACTGTAAGTCTCGTCACAATACACGAAAAATATAACTGAAACAACATCAGCAGCATATTAGAAAATGTCTCATCACAGTACATGGCAAATTTCACGGAAACAACTACCCCAGCATATCAAAACAAGTCATGTCACAGTACATGACAAATATCACTGAAACAACACTGGAATACTAATACAGCTGTATGAAATGTATGCGTGACAATAAAATGTGCATGTGTATGATCCCAGTATGTGTTCGTAAAAGTCAACCAATCAGGGCTGTTTTCTTAAAGGTTGGAGTGCATCTGCCTGAGAGGTGAGTAACCAATAGTCTGCATACAAATAAGCCAGATCTGTTTAATGGATGTGCAGGCAGAACTGAAGTTTAGGACAAGACTAAAGTCCAGAAGTGGACAAACAACCAGAATTGCTTGCCAGGGTTTACAGCCGGTGAGCGTGAAAAAGAAGATATGCAATAAGAAAGTGTGTGCACTGAAAAAGAACTAAATCACGCAAAGTATATGCAATGATTTAAAAAAAAAATCATGTAAAGTATATGCAATGATAAAACATGAATCATGTAAAGTATATAAAATGATAAAACATGAACCAAGCAAATTATGTGCAATGATAAAACATGAATCATGTAAAGTATGTGCAATAATAAAATAAAACAATCATGTAAAGTGTATGCAATGATTAAAAATTAATCATGTAAAGTATGTGCAGTGGAAAAAAATGAATCATGTAAAGAATTTGCAATGATAAAACATGAAACAAGTAAATTATGTGCAATGATAAAACATGAACCAAGTAAAGTATGTGCAATGATAAAAAAATTGTATCATGTGAAGTATGTGCAATGATTAAAAAAAAGTCATGTAAAGTATGTGCAGTGAAAAAAAAATGAATCATGTAAAGAATTTGCAATGATAAAACATGAACCAAGTAAATTATGTGCAATGATAAAACAAGAATCATGTAAATTATGTGCAATGATAAAACATGAACCAAGTAAATTATGTGCAATGATAAAACATGAACCAAGTAAATTATGTGCAATGATAAAACATGAATCATGTAAAGTATGTACAATGATAAAAAATGAATCATCAAAAGTATGTGCAATGATAAAAAATGAATCATGTGAAGTATGTGCAATGATAAAACAGGAATCACGTTGAGTATGTGCAATAATTTTAAAAAAATAAAGTGGGCAAAAAATAGAAATCCTAACCAGCACAGATTGTGGCCGCTGTACTAGCTATGCAATCTTAAATCCTCAGGGTCACAACCCGGACGTCCTGCACAGCCTTAAAAGTAGTAAATACAAACAGCAAAGACAGGTTTCTTAATATGAAAAGAAAAGATGACAGATGGTTACTTCTTCGCGTAATGAATTCAACAGATGTGCACACTGATAAGTTGAGGACAGACAAAGTGCTAAACACGATATAAAATGTGACTAGAAAGCTCAATGGAGGGAAACGTAATTACGCACACAAATTCAACTGAAAGTTTTGACAAAGTCTTTATCAAATGAGTACTAAATACAACACAAATTGCGACTAAAAAACTTAACTGACAAGACACCAGAGCTTCTAAACAACCAAGGTTAACAAGAAACCAAGAAATATGTTATGTGGGGAAAAGGGACACAAAGAGCTATAATGAAAAAAAAAATAAGTAAGAAGATGTTTGAAAGAAAAAAGGAGGTAGAAATATTAATAAGTTAAATAAATAAATACATTAAAAAATTTTTTTAAATAGATGAATATTAATCCCTCCACGAGTGAGAATGCCAAAGCTGTGAAAGAAATGGTTTTCTAAGGAGCAGTCATTGGTTTGATCACTGGAACAAGATTTTGCAGCAGTAACTGAAAGAAAACTTACATTTGATTTTCTCCTCCTTAGTCCCTTTGGTGAGGATCACCAGTCCACAGAGAAGGTCTTTAAAGGAGAGGCCCTTGGAGGTGCCCCCATAGCCCCGGTAGATCAGCTGCGAAAGAAAAGGCCTGGTTCAAACTTGTGCAATTTCTCACAGGCAGCCCTACAATTCCCATCTACTTATAACTAATGAGAGCGCTAGGTCTGCAAAATGTTCTGCAAAGGACCTGCTATATGATGATAATGAGGTACACAAGATGTTTCAGAAGTCTTGTCATCCAGCACAAAACTGGCATCTTAACTGCAGGACACTGTTCTATATGGTGAAGGGAAGATCTGAGCACCTATAGACATGTCCAGTGCTGTGAGGATGGTTTAGCTTTTAGATTTAGACTACGGATCAACATCATAGCACAAGCGTAACCCACAAGGGCTCTGTTCTACTTCTGACTCAAGTCTGAGTCCAGGAAATCTCAGCGCAGTGCATAAACTCTGCAGCACCGGCAAGGATCCTGAAATACTTTGGAAAGATTTTGAACTCCAAATTTTGCCCGGTAGCGCCATTAGGCTACTCTTTTCGATTTCCAACTGACAATGGATTTTTTTATGTGCACAACAATAGAGACGGGCATCCAATCTTACTACCCAGAGACCAAGGGATTTTACTAGAAGTCCATGTGAAAAAATCCCAGCCTTCACTGGGACTTGAACCTGGGACCTACAGCACTAAAGGCGGACACCGTGCCTCAAGACCAAGCAACCCCCCCCCCCCCCCCCCCCCCCCCTCCCGACTGTGAGAAAAAAAAAACCAAACTCATAACTACTGCTTTCACTTAGTCTCATTTTTTTAAAATGGCAGCACAAGTATTGACCTGATATGGTGATAATTACCGACTTTAAAATGGAATATCCCTGTTTGGGTTCCAGAGCCATTGTGGGGAAAGCAAATATAATCCCACTGCCTCCCCTAGAAGCATGTCGTAAGAGTTGACTAACTGGGGTTTTCTTTCAAAGTCGGAGTGCATCTGCCTGAGCGGCAAGTAACTAACAGTCTGCATACAAATAAGACAGATCTGTAAAACAGATGTGCACACAACACTCAGGTTCTGGAACAAGTTTTAAGTCCAGAGGTGGATCAATAACCAGAACTCTCTGCTGGAGTTTACCGCCAGTGAACGCAAAGAAGAAGAAGAAAATTTAATAATTATGTTGAATGTTGAATTAACAATCAACATCGCAGCACTCAGGACATTACCATAAGCGCTCCATCCCCATCTTAAGCAGCAAGTGCAGAGTACCAATTCGACTGGCACTAGTAACAGTCTAACTGTATGTCCAGTCTGCCCTTTCCCTGAGCGTTCAGCGTCAGCCAGATGCCCTGGTCACTCATCGCAGCCCAATTCTCCCCAGACTGTCATGGTCAATTTGTGCCTTCACACTGTTTACTAACTCATAAAGGACCCTTAAAACATTGAGCCTGTAATTCACCATCAAATAGTGCAGAACCAGCTAGTTTATCTGCCTGTTCATTTACCACCACACTGGAATAACCTGGAGAAACAAATCTAATGGACACTAACTACCCAATATTCCTGAAGTGATGCTTGCCACTCTGCATTTAGCATACCTGTCTCAATCTATCTCAACATGCTCTATGAGTCAGTTACAACTATGAAATGTGTGTACAGCTGATTCTCAAGCCAGTAGAAAGCTACACTGACTGCACCACCTCTATTATCAAACTAGAAGTTGAAATGCCAGGCTTTGTTGACTAAGCGACGTTCATTTACATTTGCCATGAACCCTCGTGCAATTTATTTGCCTCTCAAAACAGAACCATCTGTTTAGATAATCACATCCTCTGAGAGGGCATAATTACTGACCGGTCCATCCGGCCAAATTACTATCTTGTTAATTAAAATTAATGTCTTCATGATTTCCTATAAAATGCCACAACGATAATAAAAGTAAAATGACTGTCTTAACTGTTAATTATTATCAAATAGTCCAAAAAGTGACTGAAATGACTGCAGTGATGTTTTGTGATAATGATTAACTCTTACTAGCTGAATCACACTGTGACACATGTTTGACTTTTTAAGATAAATGTGCTATATTTAACATGTGCTATATTTATACCTGTGCTATACTTATTACATGCATTTAATTACCAATAATATATTTATTGCAAACGTTATGCTTATGCTACAAAATGCTACATTTATTACTGCACTTTGTTTATTACATTTGAAACATTTATGACACGAGCTATGTTTATAACCTAAGCTATATTCAAGTGCTGTGTTTTATTTAATTTAGACAGCTTTGAGAACAGATGTCTTAGAAGAATATTAAATCTCCACTGGACAGATGTCAGATCCAATAAGCAAATAAAACAAGAGACCAAACAAGATAATGTCTCCAATTTTATAAGAAAGTGCGGTTGGAATTACGTCAGCCATGCACTCAGAACAGATAAGACAAGACTTCCCCATCAAGCCCTTATATGGACACCGGAAGGGACAAGAAAACGGAGAAGACCAAGAGAGACCTTGAGTAGAACCATCATCAGGGAAGGCTGAACTATGGGCCTAATGAATATCCAAGACCTAAACCAGGTGGCAACGAACCGCCAGATATGGAGAGCTATGATTTCTGCCCTATGCGCCGCCTGAGGCTCAAGAGGAAAGACTAACTAATCATATTACCTGTGCTATGTTTATAGGCACTCCATCCCACAAGACTTCTCTGACGAACACAGCATCGGACATGGTAGAGCTAACGGCTGTCACACGCCGGAAGGCTTCACGCAATCGTACAATATCTGCCTCGGACACTGAAATAATTACAAAACAACAAGTCACTGATGTGATTTCAACGTCCTACTTTCCTTCTTTGTCTTTGTCAACTTGAAAACTAGTACTTTAAATTACATGGCCCAATCATTGAGAATAATAGGAAATACACATTTACAGTTTTCCCTCTCTTGCTTCTGTGTGGATGGATACATTATCAGGACAGCATTTAAATATCCCACAGAAAAAGTGGTTGTATTCAATGAACAAAAACAAATACAGAGGTTCTGATAAGTCTGTCAATGAAAAGAGAATTACTGAAAGAAATATAAAAGAGACAAGTGAAATTTTTTAGCCATGAAAGAGACCACTGAAATATTTTAGTAACATTCAGATAATCTATATTCTTTGGCCATGTGACGAAAAGTAGAAAATCTGGAGTACATTGTGACAGTAGAAAGCTGAAGGGGAGGAGAGGCAGAGGGAGAACAAGAGAAACGATGCTGGACAGGCTGACATCATAGCATCGAGGGTCCTCTGCATCAGAGTTGACCAAAAGTACATGAAACAGTTGTGGATAGACATGACTACCAGCGCCACACTGACTTTAAGAAGCCACATTAAAAGACATAACACTCTTTTACAAACCATACTAGAGTACGGTAGTAAGAGTCGACTAATATTAGGGGCTTTCTTCGAAGTCGGAGTGCATCTACCTGAGCGGCAAGGAACAACCAACTGCACACAAATAAGCCCGTAAAATGGATGCACATGCAGCAAATCTCAGGCTCTGGCACAAAGCCAAAGTTCAGACGGAGGAACAACCAGGGCTTTCTGCCCAAGCTTACAGCCAGTGAACAGAGAAGAAGAAGGTTCTTGTCATATTGTTCCCTCAATGTGACATCTGCACACAGGTCACACAGGATGAGGTTATGATTTAGTGGAAGTTGTATAAGAGTGGGCTGTCAGGCTTTACAACTTGGGGTCCATGATTAACAGCATGAGATCATCAGAGATAAGTGTCTACCACAACAAACACAAGCCTTATCTGGCTATTAGTAAGCTGAAAATCAATAAAATACTAGATCACAAGATGTGTAACTACACTGTTAAGGTAGATGCTACTGGAAGCCAGAAAAATGTTTGTAAAAGCTAGTATCGTGGCTAGACTGCTATTAAAATTCAGCTGTATGTTAGCAGTAGTCTTTAAACGCACTTCTGTGACAAATTAATTCGTAATTTAAATAAAGAAAAAAAAATTACTAATGTCAATCCTTACAAGAGTGATCCTAAGGGTCCAATCAATGTTTGTTACAGACGCCGCAAGAGAGACAATCTATTGTCTGTGTATGTTCACGTAATGATATTCTTTTATATTTTATATTGTTTGAGATTAGGGTTAAGGTTAGTGTTTGGGTTGACCCTCTTCTCAAACAATATTAAAATAAACAAATGTGAACTTTACAACTTGGGGTCCACACCTAAGCATAATGTGAACTTACACAGACAATGGATTATGTCCCATGGGGTCAGCACTCACAGTAATGTTACAATAGATTGCATCCCCTAGGGTGGGCGCTGCAAAGATTGCCTGATTAAATCTGAATTATCATGACTGTCTCACAGATCATGTTTAGCATTTTTATTACCGGAGGCTGATCAAGTCATCTACTACCACTGCCCTTATCTGGGACTCAATATTTTGTTATTTTAAAGCCTTATCCCGGATTTTGCCCGGGTTGAGGGGTGGGGGGGGGGGGGGGGCGCGGCGCAATATAGCCTGAAGGCTGAACGCAGTTTCTAGGACCTCTCAATGTGTGATCCTTATCTGCATGGTGGCACTTTATGTCACCGGGTGTTTATCCCTGTGTGATGTCCTGGTGGGGTAAAATTTACTTGTACTACACTACTACCACTCTACCATGCCTTCGTGTAGAAAAGTTAATAAATAAATGCTGCTTGCGATATAAATATTTGAAAGTATGTGACGTAGCTGTCAGAAAAGTGTGAGCAGACGTGAAGCTGGTCAGTCAATCAATGTTTAAATTAGATTAAATCCACCAAAGGAACTAGACTGGACATGAACTCAGAACTGAAGGGAGGCAGTCTGAGTCTCGGTCAGTCTAGGCCGAAGAAACTCGAAACTGAGACAAAACAGCGCCTTTATCACTGTACCTCTACGGCAAGCATCCTCAAAGGATATCACCGACAACTTGGAGTCCTTTGCACCCATTCTGGGTGTCTGATAACGCTGGAGACAAATATTTTTATCTCAGAAGCAGAATCAGATCCGAATGTTTACAAATTGCTCTCTGAAATCATTCCACTCCGCCATGTTTGATCACGCGCAGTGCATGGAGAAATGGCGAGACTTCATGGTTGAGTGTAAATGACGAAACACGACAAGATATCGTCAAGATGTAACGTGTGACCAAGACTGATTCAGCTTCGCATACTTCTAGGCTTCTTGGACTTAGGCATTGCTAACGTGCTACAAATTCCGAAATCCTCGGTTAGATTCCAGCTGCAGATAATTTTCTGTTGATTTCGACAATGTTATGGAGCACCGATTGTGCAGTCGGCAATGGCAAACTACCGAATGTTAGGCTATGCTCCGACTAACGGTCGGCAAAGATGGCGGCTGAAAATTATCATTACGAGCCACAGTCGCGTGACTTAATTTGCGGTTTTCCGGCAACTATCGCCGCCGCCATCTTTGCCGACCGTTAGTCGGAGGATAACCGAATGTTATTTTCCAAGTAAAACGACAAATAGCACAGCCCTCCACCCCTACTACGCTAACATGCTGGGTCAAATCTTGGGTTACCACAATTCCTTCAACTTGTTTTTGGGGGGGGGGGGGGCGTCTTTATTGTGGGAGTATTTCTGACGGTCCACAAAATGGCAAACGTTTGGCAGCCATAGTTAATAATATCTGCAACGTCCTGTAAAGGACACACATCTAACATATTCTTCGCACCCCTTTAACAAGACCCTTTTCCACGCCTTCATGCGCATTGGGCAGATAGTGCTAGAATTCTATTTTATAGACCAACCAATACTCAGTGGGCGATGTTAGCAACATCCCGCCGAACGCCTTTACTTCCCAAGACTTTACCTGGTACCTAATGAAAGCTTGATTGACCTGAGAGCTAAGGTATTTTTTTTTAAAGTTCGGCTCTGTTTGGATTTTAACCCACTACCTTCGGATCAGCTGGGGGTGTTCTAGCCGCGATACCACGGTGGCTCACCTGCACAACAGGGTAGATGCTGATAACGGACTACGCGCTAGATAGTCGCTTTCACTTCAGATGGATCACTCAGTAGTCGCTCAGTTCTAGTGGCAGTGACAAGTCACACAAACTGTCTTTGACTGCTTCATTTAAACACTAGTGAACGAACAATTAGACCTCGCACAATCCTGAAGCATGCGCAATAAATTACTAACGCACATTTGTTAATGCTAAAACATATTTTGCCATATTGTCACCACCCCCCCCCCCATCAGTTATAACCCCTGGTGCAGCCAGCACACCCCTACACGCCCCTTGCTATGCTTCTGCTAAAAGTTAAAGTTGAGCTGAGAATCGACGTCATAGCGCTCGGGACATTCCCCTCAGCTCCCTGTTCATATTTTCTGTAGCCAGAACAACAACAGTTAAATCAGAAGAAGAAGAAGAAGAAGAAGAAGAAGAAGAAGAAGAAGAAGAAGAAGAAGAAGAAGAAGAGAAATTATAACAACATAACAATAAAGACACATTTTTAGCCAGAGTATTTTAAAGTTTGTCTATTTACACTTTGGATATATATATATATATATATATATATATATATATATATATATATATATATATATATATATATATATATATATGTATTTACATATATGTATGTATACAAGTAAACAAAAAGTTAAGGACGCATTGGGCATATAGAGGTGAACCTATTTTTATAGACCTTTCAGCACTTGGTGGGTGATACAGTCAGCACCACGCTAATATATATACACAATATGTATGTATATATGTATGTTATATATATATATATATATATATATATATATATATATATATATATATAGTTGTTTATTTAGATGTTGCTGAGCTCCTATTTCGTATATTTATTTCACTTGCTATCGTCACATTATTTCCTACCCCCCTCCCCTCCCTCCCTCCCTGCCTCAACTAGGTGGCGGAAAAATCGACGCATCAACAGAATTATTTCTCGGAAAATAAGAGACTTTGGCCAGTCAAGGCCACAATGGTGCAAACAAGTCGAAAACATTTTCTAAGGAGAGGATGTGGATGGGATTAGTCAGCACGACGGTTGGAGAAAAACACTGCTGTAGCCTTGGGTGTGAAAATACAAGAGCAGAGCAATTGGCAAGAGACCAGATTTGTATAGGTTTTTCCCTCCATGATTGTAGTCTGTAGGATTACAATCTCAAGAACGGGTACAAATCCCTGAAACGCCACAGGTAACCCTTGACTCTGCTTCTATTGTAACTATGTGATCACCAAACAGTAACGGACCAAAACTAAAAGCAAAGTTTCTCTGAAGTGAATATGTAGAAAGAAGAATTTTTACAGTGAAACATATGGGAGGAAGGCAAAAGGAAGACAAAGAAAGAGATGGATATATGATGTAAAAATATGTAAAAAGATGAACAAATCCATTACACAACCCACACGAGAAGGTCAAGGCAAATACAGAAAACCACGATACTGAGCTACAACCTGGTATCAGTGACACGACAGAATAAGAAGAAGGAGAAGAATAAGAAGACACAAAACAAAACAATAGACTGCACCATTTAGTGGCTGGCATATTTCACTGTAACTTGTCCGGTGTTTTTTTTTTTTTTAAAAAGCAGTTACTTGGTGAATGCAGTCGATTTCGTGTTTCGGTTAGAATTTTTTTTTTTAACTTAATTTCATTCAATTGTTACCATAGTATGTACCATAGATAAGTAAAATATGCCAGACAATAAACTTAGTAATTTTTAAATCCTGCCTTTCTTATTCAAAGCCACCGCCTTCTCTAATAGCTAAAGTCAGACATGTTCAAATCTGAAATTGCGCTTTCTTAGAAAGGACGAAATGACTAACGATAAAAATAGTTATAGTTATTGTTTCGTTTCCCCTGAAATCAGTTTGTCGTATCGGAAAATCCCAGTAGTCTGTTTCGGTTCTTTTCAGAAAAGCCCCTGGAATCTTAAAACTTAAACCGTGGCCAAACTTGTTTCTCTACTTTGTATTAGTCTATTATGCTGCCAATATCGATCCAGCTGTTTGTCTCACTGAAGCTGTGTTCTTTAACGTTAACAGGTCTAGAGTATATAATATATGTGCCAATATTGAGAATACGTCTGACGTTAAAAACATATCCACGACTTCCTGGAACTATTTATTACTAGAGAAAGCTGTGATAAATCTAACATGCCGTCAAATACAGATCCGACTTCAAGCAGAAGTGTGAAAAGGTTGGTAAAAGGTTTCAGTTTTTTTTATAGACATTTTCTATTACAATTAGAGGGATAGAAAAATTTTTTTTTTTAGAATTAGAGGAGTTTCAGATATACATATTTCTTTTTGGGTTCCTGTTCCCCCATTGTGGGGGAAAACAAGAATAGAAGCACTGTCTACATAAAAGAATGTCGTAGGAGTCGACTATCTGGGAGTTTCCTCCAAGATCTGAGTGCATCTGCCTGAGAGACAAGAAACCAACAGTCTGCATTTAGATAATCCAGATCTGCTGTACACGCAACATTCAGGTTCTGGGGCATGGCTAAAGTCCTGAGGTAAACGAATAACCAGAACTTTCCGCCGGAGTTTACAGTTGGTGAATGCCAAGAAGAAGAAGAAGTAGGAGAAGAAGAAGAAGAAGAAGAAGAAGAAGAAGAAGAAGAAGAAGAAGAAGATATACATTTTATAAGAATTAGTGGTAGAGAAAAAATACTATTAGAATTAGAGGAGTTACAGATAGACATTATTTTATCCTCGCATGGATTACAGGGCCATACTGGGGGTTGGGAGAATAAATCAACTGTTTCCTTATCAAGCATGCCGTAAAAGTACACTCTGTGGGAATTTCCCCTAAAAAATCGGAGCCAACCTGCACAGAGACGAGGAACCAACTCCCTTGACTGACCGACGCTCAACCCCACAGGACCGCAAAACGAGCGATTAACACTTGGGGACACAAAGTGTCACCATTCGGATGAGAATCCCCACAGGCTCATATTAGGACCCCCGACTATAGCCAGGGGTAAGGATGTGAAATAACCAAATTGTATCCCGTATTGGGATGGCGTGAATGGTACCAATGGTCTTCATAGAAAAAAGCAGATTGGAAACTGGATGTGTACACAAGATTGAAGTTCCTGATTACGACTAGAGCCCAGAAGTGGACGAACAACCAGAACTTTCCGCCAGAGTTTACAGCCGTTGAACGCTGAAGAAAAAAATAAAAGAAAAAATAAAGAAAAAATAAAGGAAAGAAACATAATTCTGTTAGAATCAGAGGAGATTGCGATTATAAATTATGTTAGAAATGGGGTTGAAAAAAAAGGGGGGGGGGGGGGGGGGGGGTTAGAACTAGAGGTTTGGGAGAAAGATTTCAGTTTGCATGATTGTTTCTTTTTTATAGTTAGCCGTCTGCACACAACAAGATGATGCTTTGTGTCCATGAATAAGGCAGGAATTGACCAACCTGACGTCAGCTGCGCCAGGGCTCGGTGATTTATGACTCCCCTCCCCTAGCATTTCTAGAAAAAGGGAGTTAAAGACGGAGGGGGGAAGGATGAACTATGCAGTCCCCATTACCAAGTGTAGAAGTTGAAAGTATAACTTTACACATTTTATATTATCCACTCCCCCCCCCCTCCCCCGGGTTGGTTCCTGAGCCCTGTTCTAGGAGAAACAAATACTACCTACTAAAAAGCATGTCGTAGGAGGCAACTAATTCAAAGTCGGAGTGCATCTGCCTAAAAGACGAGGAACAGCAGTCTGCGTACACCTAAACCAGGTCCTGCTAAACAGATGTGCACACAAAACTCAAGTTCTGGAACAAAACCAAAGTCAAGAAGTGACCAAACCACCTTAAATTTCCACCAGAGCTTCCAGCCGCTGAACGCGAAAAAGAAGAAGAAGATATTGTTTCAAATATGATTTTTATTTGCCATTCAGCACATAGTTATTAATACTCACGCAAACAAGACATATGCATATGCTGCTTTGATGGTACACACCCCCCCCCCTTTTTTTTTTAAACAGTGGTGGGTTGAAAGTCGAGTCCTCTCTCTGAACAACGTTGACAAACCCAAGGTAGCTTGTGCATGCCACCGGTATCTAAGATCCCCTAGTAGGTAGATGGATATAGAAATTAGCAAATTTCTGCAGCAACAACAACAGTAGCAGCAACAACAACAACAGTAGCAGCAACATAAACAACAGAAGCAGCAACAACAACAACAGCAGCAGCAACTGCTGCTGATGCCTCTGCTCTTGCTGCTGCTGTTGCTGCTCCTGCTGATGCTACTACTACTACTACTACTACTACTACTACTACTACTACTACTACTACTACTACTACTACTACTACTACTACTACTACTACTACTACTACTACTATTACTACTACTATTACTACTACTACTACTATGACAACAAGGCAACATTAACAGCTACTACTACAGCTGCTGCTTCTGCTGCCGCTGCTGCCATTACCTTCTACTGCCACCACTATTGCTGCAGCTACATCCACAATATTACAAATAAAATATATTTACGAATAATGTTTCTCAGAGAAGCCTGCATCCTTGGCTCCACCGCCCTGGCCCTGCTCATTAACTTGGTGGCCATCATTCTGGGTGTGTACCTCATGGCGAGCCTCAGACCTGACGCTAACTCACAGGTAAACCATTAACGTGTCTCGCACATCTGCCTTTCCCCTCATTGTCGTTGCCATCGTCACAAATACGGTTACCATGATTGACCCCGTATTGGGCAGAAACGATGTTAGCATTGCCATAAACAGGTCGTATCGCGAAGACGAACACGGCAAAGAGCATGACTCTGTATCTCTGTCTAGACTGATCGACACGGGAATGCCAACTGGAGCTCCAAGAAATGATTCCCCAAAGGCACATGACGTTTAATTAATTAATCAATACAGAATAGGCGTCGCTGGGCGTTTAACGCGTGTGGTACCTTTGAAGAGATCGGAGCACCATAGACACGAGCGGAGTGGTGTGGTTATAATCCTCACTAATCGCTAACTTGAGTCTCACCCAAAGCCCCGCCCTCAGACACCATAGACTCAACTCGCTGATACACAGCACAGCAGAATTATCCATGGGAGCGTACGTTCATTGTTTAGTTGACAGCTCCATTTTAGGACTTCTGCTAAATAAAACAATGGCCATGATTCACAATTAACAAGCTTTCAGTTCATATGCTGAAATGGTAGCTGTTTTCAAATTCACGGTCTTGAAATTGATGTCTTCCCACCAAACGCAGTTTTCTGGGTAATCGAAGTTGTAATGATTGCTTTTGTCCATGCTCAGGATGTTTAATTGATTTTTTTTCTGACTCATGATGATGAAATGTTTGCTTTTTTCCAGACTTACGATGTTAAAATTGTGGCTTTTGCCAGAACTACGATGTTGAAATGGTGATTTTTTTTCCCCCGACTTACGATATTGAAATGGTTGCTTTTTCCAGACTTACATTATTGAACTTGTTGCTTTTTCTAGACTTAGATATTGAAATAGTTGTTTTTTTTCTCCTTCATGGCTCAAGATGTTGACATATTAACTTTTCCCCCCACTCTTTCTGGCTCAGTATGCTGAGAGGTTTGCATTTTTCACTCTTTCTGGCTTAAGATGTTGAAATGGTTGCATTGTTTTTTCAGGCTCAGAATGTGAAATGCTTGCCTTTCCCAGCTCGCGATGTTAAGTGATTGCATTTTCTCAAGTTATTGCCCCAGCCAGACTTACAGGGCTAAAATTGTTTCCTTCCCCATGGTTATAATGTTTCCTTTCCCATGGTTATAATGTTTCCTTTTCCATGGTTGTAATGTTATATCGCCTTATTTCACTGTTTTTAACTTTCTTGTAATGTTTTTAGTACGTATGAAAAGACATGGCAACTCAGCTTTAACACTGGTACCAGAAAATGCTCTAGGAAGTACAGGCGGTCAACATGATATTGACGCCGTATATCGGTATATATAATAAAAAGTAAAAGATCCTTTTCCACGCCTTTCAGGAGTATTGGGTATATGTGGCTAGACCTATATATTAAAGACCAAACGGCACTTGATGATACTTGGTACCCACTCGAGGCTGGGTGGACCTGGGAGCCAAAGCCATTTTTGAAAAAAGCCAAGCTCCTGTCAGGGACCGAAACCACGACCTCCCGTTCAGCAGGCGAGCGTCTAGCCGCTAGACCACGTCGGCTCCCGATGTATATAATGGACTAGGGTACATGCCCGGTGCGTCTCAAAGAGTAATAACGGGTCCAGTACTATACAACTGATGTGTACAAGATGAGTGTCTGGAAGGGCAGAGTGCAAAGACAGGCCTGCGTGCCCAATTTGTGATCATTGAAAAATAAACGTTCGTTCGTTCAGTGTATGAATTATGTTTTGACATTACTACACTTGAAACATTCCCATACGTTCTAGGTCCTTTTTTCTCAGTAGCAAACGAAGAATTCTTTTGTTGATAGTTTTAGTTGCAACGTGATTGTGTCGATGTGATGGTGTCGATCCATATCTTGCGTAGTCTTCCGCTTGCTCTGTGTTCATTATGTTTTTTCAGCATGGCACTCTGTGGTACCAGCTGCCACACTGAAGAGAAATATAATAAACACAGAGCAAGGGGAAGACCACGCAAGATATGGAGTGACACCATCAGGAGCAACCTGACAGAAATAAACACCATCTTGTACAATGCATTGGAAAAAAAAGCACAAACGAACCTTACACCCGCCCCCCCCCCCCCCCCACCATATCCAACACCTCGCTGAGGTAAATGGTGGAAGAGAAGAAGAAGAATAACGTGATTAAAAGTTGTCTAACCCCCCCCCCCCCCCTTCCCCCCCCCCCCCCTTTGCGTATAGGTGTAAAAAATCGCCCAGAACCTCCTCTGCTCTGCTTAGTACATACCCTATTCCATTATATTTGGTGTATGTTGAATATTCTCGCCACTATAGTATTCCGGACTCTTACTCAATCATCGAAGAAAATAACAATCGGAGCCTTTTAACTGAAATGCTACAGATAGATTATTGGAGTACCGAGGAAGGACCAAGAAGACGGACAACATCGGCCATAATCTGTGACACATCCTCTTCTAAAAAGCTGCGAAATGTCTGCTATTTCAAATGGCATACTAGCTTGGAGAGAACCACAATGGAGGGTCCAGTTTCCTGAAAACGAGGCATAGGCTGACCTCCACGAACGTGGATACAAGACACCGAAGATGCATTGTCTGTGAAAGCACATAGGGCTGGAAAATTGGTTAGAGAAAGATACGTTTAGGTGTGCAGTGACGAGAGCGACGTTCTTTAAAGGACCTACTAATTCAGCCGTTCCCAACCTCCTGGTCGCGACTCCTTTTTTTGGACCGAGCGACCCTTTGACAGGGGTCCCCTAAGACCATTGGAAAACACATATTCATTGAAGTTATGAAGGGAAATAATTGTTTAGGGGTCGCCACAACATGAGGGAACTGAAATTAAAGGGTTGTGGTGTAAGAAAAGTTGAGAGCCACTGTGCTAACTGATGATGATGGGATGCCATGTGTCTTCCACTGAACCTAATGCCTTTTTGTAAGATTTTGCTATGAAATGTCTGTGTCATGTCCTTGTTTGTTTGTTTCTAACGGTGAGCAGTTGCTGACCAGCCACGGCCCAGACGACCACCTGGGGACAATCGCCTGCATCAACTGTGACCACGAGCTTGGGAACCCGCTCCTGAAGACATTGGCCCGGAAAGACAGTGGTACTGAGAGGCTGTGTTGTGCGGAGAGTACGTCCCAAATGTCCGCAATCATGGAACTGGTACGTGGTTCTCGTGTAGATCATCATCATCATGTGCCCTGCCAACTGGCGTAGGCGCTCATGCGTCTCCACAGATCACGATGCCTGGTTGCCTGGAACAGCTCTCTTGATGATATGCCTTTATGCCATCGTTTCAGCCCATCCAGCATCGTCTCTCTTGGTCTGCCTCTATCCCTTTTCCCACTGATCTTTCCAGCTGTTACGATGTTCTCTAATGTCTCTCTTCTCATTTTATGGCCATAGAACAGTGACTGTCTCTTTATGATCCTCCTGTTGGGGGAGAGAAAACAACAACATCAATAACACTAACACAAACATTTTCACAAGGACAATTAAACTTTTCAGCAGGATTCTTTATCGACAGGTGGGCTGAGTAGTCTCGAGGCATGGTGTCCGCCTTGAGTGCTAGAGGTTCTGGGTTCAATCTTCGGTAAGGGCGGAAATTTTTTCACGTGGATTTGGACTTCTAGTAATTCCTCCTGGTCTCTGGGCAGTGAGATCAGACGCCCGTGTGCATTGTTGCGCATGTAAAAAAATCCCCTGGCAGTTGGACATCGAAAAGAGTAGCCTAATGGCGCTGCCCGGACAAAATTTAGAGTTACAAATCTACCTAAAGTATTTCAGGATCGTCACCGGTTCTATAGAGCCTGTGCACTGTGTTTAGCTTTTATGGACTCAGACTTGAGTTGGAAGAAGAACGGAGCACTTATGGGTTACTACCCGTGAGTCATAATGTCGATCAGTTGTTCAAAACCTCAAACATCTTTATCGACAAATACAGCACCAGCTACAACAAGGGACAGAGCATCCTGGCAGCTAGTCTCCACACGTGAAAGATCACTAGTAGAAGAGGCAGAGGCAGACCAAGAGAATGATGGTGGATGGCTTAAGACAGTGGCATGCGGGAATATTATAAGTAGAATTAATCCAGAACTCCAAAGACCGAGATCTGTGGCGACGAATGAACGCCTACGCCAACTGTTAAAAAGGCACTTGATGATGATGAGTCCCCACAGAGAGAGAGAGAGAGAGAGAGATAGAGAGAGAGAGAGAGAGAGGAGGGGGAGGGGTCATGTGATTAACTATAAAATATGTGAGGGGGAATGGATATACAACAAGTCAAATAAATTAAATACATTTTTAAAAAGTGAGAGGAGGAGGAGTTATAGTAGTAGCAGCAGCAGTAGTAGTAACATGGGAGTAACGACGTAGTCATAGTTCAAGGGATTCATTTATCGATATTAGCTTGATTAGTGACCCCTGTTTTCATCACTTTTTGAACTAACTGTAGCATCTGTAAAACTGGACGACACTGCGATAGTGATACAATGTGGCAAACAGAAAATATCGATAGTTGGGAGTGACTGCCAGATAGACGGTTGTGACTGGTATATACACTGATGTAAATAAGATATTATATTCAATCATTATGATACTGAAAATGAGGTGTCTAATAAGGGCTGCAGGAGTAGGGCGACCATGATATCTTCATCTCGCCCGGCGCGCTTGTTCAGTTGTTTAACCTGACTGTGCGCTGACCGGGTGACGAACTTCTTGTGGTCCTGGTTCAGGGGCGGGTGTAGGCAGAAAAGTCGCATATTTTCTAATTTAAGGTATCTTTCATGGAATCAAGGCCAAAGGATTGCGATATCCATAGTACGAGGCGAAGGGTTTACAACTCATGGTTTCTGGACATGTTAAAAAAAAAAAAAATCTTCAGCTGAAAACTGGTCATCTCACTAATATTTTGAGCTGAAAATGGGACATCTCAATCAGTCTGCATTACTGCCCAGGACTTTACCTGTTTTAGGCGCTGTCGGTCTATGAGTGCGTTTCTGCCCCATGTGTTTTGTCAAGAAGACAAGAAGAGGATTGAACAGGATGTCTGGGATTCACTCTTGGGTTTTTCCCTCCAGGGGCTTTTCCTACAAACATCAGTCCTGGAGGGAAGCGGTGACCAACGATCTGCTTATGACGGAATGTTCTAGATTCCACCAAAAGACGCTGCAGTTGTTCTTATAATTTAATTGTTCCAGCGCTCCAGCGTAGTTGATAGCGCGTTGGATGTCAGATGACAATCCCTATGCGTGTCCAGTCTCGGGTTCGAGTCGGGGGATCGCAGAACTGCCGCATACTCCCCAGATTAACGGTGTACGTGGCACCGAGGCTGAAGGGCCTCGATGCTCACGAAACTGAACCAGATGAGCTATATTTGAACCTATGACCTATGCATTTGAAGCGTCTAGCCGCTACACCACTGTGGCTTCCTTATATAGACTAATAAGGATTATTTAGCCTACAACTGATTGACAAGTTTTTGTGTGTGTCTCTTTTTGAAGATGCTGCAAAGACCGCAAGGGAAACAACCACACAGAAAAAGGCAACATCTGCGGGAGTCCACGTCTGACGCCATCAAGGCTGATGATCTTAGCTTCAGCACAGCTTCAGCTCACAAGCGACTACTGCCCAGGGAACCGTTTGATAGTTCCAAAAGTATTACATCTTATTAAATTATCGAAATTTTTTGTATATAGCACTTTTCCAAGTCTAAGATGACCCCTATTTGTTCAGCTCAAAAGTGAGAAATACATATTTTAAACACATTCCATTCATAAGGCGACCCCACATTTGTCTTTTTTCCTCTTCTTTTGTCTCACTAGATGGCCGAACGATTTCTTGATTTGTCTGTCAATATAATTCAGGCATTATTTATTGTATTACCCATAATTTTAAACTTTAAATATTTAAGTGAACGTATAATCTTATTTGTTAGTTAGTTAGTTAGTCTCTCCTTTTGAGCCTAGGGTGGCGCACAGGACAGAGGTCATAGCTCTCCATGTCTCGCAGTTTGTTGCCACCTGTTCTTGGATGTTCATTAGGCTCATGGCTGAGCCTTCCCTGATGATGGTTCTACGCGGGGTCTCTCTTTGTCTTCCCCGTTTTCTTTTTCCTTTTTGGTCTCCGTATAATGATAGACATTGTGGTGTTAGAAAGTGGAAGAATGGGCCTCAGTTTGAATAATGGGAAGACAGAAGTAATGGTGGTATCAAAGAAACAAATTATTCCTAAATGTGTAATAAAAGTCAATGGTGTTATTTTAAGACAAGTACAGAAATTTAAGTATCTGGGCACATGGATAACATCAGATGGAAGATGCACAACTGAAATAAGAAACAGAATTGGACAGGCAAAAACTGCATTTTATAAAATGAAAAACATCTTGTGCAATATATCCTTGTCATTGAGAGTTAGAAAAAGAATTCTTGCTTACTACATACATCCAGTTTTAACATATGGATGTGAATCCTGGACAATCGGTAGGCAGGCCAAACAATTTTTAGAGGCCTCAGAGATGTGGTTTTACAAAAGAATGCTTAGAATACCTTGGACAGCCAAAAAGAGCAACCAAGAGGTTTTAAAAGAGGTGGGAGACCGAAGACAACTTATCACTGACATCAGAAGGAGACAGTCATCATTTTTCGGCCATGTTATGAGAAGAGGGAAAATAGAACATGTTGTGACCACTGGAAAGATCCGTGGAAGGAGAGATAGAGGAAGACAACGAGAGAAGATGCTTGACAGTCTTGTTGCATGGCATGGAGGTGTGTCGGCACACGAACTGATACATGCTGCAGGAGATCGCGGATTATGGAGAGGCATGATCGCCCACGCCAGTCGGCAAGGCACCTGATGATGATGATGATGATAAGGGTTTCGTTGGGGAGTCTTGTCTTATCCATCCTGATTGCATGGCTGACAATCTTCTACACACACACAAAATATACAGTATGAAGATCTTAAAAGTATCGATCTACTTGATCTACACAACCCCAACACCCTGGAATTCCACGGGAGGTTACTCTGTAACTGTAAGGGTGTCCCTCTTCTTTGTTCACCGGCTGT